AAAAGTACGATTATTTCAACTAAGAACAAAACATCAAATCAAAATATCGCGATAAAAATAGAACTAGTGTGTAACTACAATATAATAGTAAACTGGATAAAGAAATAGAAATACATAAAAGAGTGGGAAACAGCGAAGAATTATAAGATCAAAGAAATATTTTTTTTTAATAGGAAACACCAAAAAAAAAGAAAAAGCAATAAATGAAGTGATTTTTTTTTTTAATGCAATGGAGAGAAAGATATTGACAGAAAAATGCAAAACTATGTAATTCAATTCCCACCCATCTGACACCAAACGATAGTAAAGTATAGGATCAATAAGATAAGTAAAAAAGACACAAAACGTACAACTAACTACAAACAATTGGTTCGAAGTTTTTATGAAAACAATTATCTTAAAATATGATAGTTTTAACAAAAATCAAAGCATATGTACAGTTAACATGTTAACTTAACCTCTCAATGACGTCAATAAAACCCCCACAGCCCTTGCGCTGCAAGGGGGGCACAGTTCAAGGGGGCGCAGTCCGGACAGATACGAGTAATATTATAGTTATTTATGTATTAAGGGCATAATCAGGGAGATTGTGGCACGAGGGAATGTTTAAAGCCCGACGAAGGAGGGCTTTTAATTTCCCGAGTGCCACAATCGACAATTATGCACGTGGTACATACAACGTTTTATTCTATTTTAGTTTCTAAACTATTTTTAACGAAATATTGAGTATTTTCGGCAAGACTGTGTCATTGTGCCGATGCGAATTTTAATACATAGCTGGCTATTATTTTGATGTTGTTATGGATACCACGTTGATTATTTGATAATTCGTTTTTCAAAATGGAAATTAAAGAAGCGGAAAACCTTTATTCAAACGAAAGTTTAGAAGAATTTGAAGTCGGTCAGGTAACGATTTGATAAAATATTATTTTCCCAACTTAAGAAAAACGTTGAATACCGAAGCTTGTTTGAATAATTAATTGATTAGTGTAAATGAACAATCAATTGTTGCTTAGCAATTTTTGACAGATTTGTGCTAAAAAGACCAATTTAAGCCCGCATTTGGGTGCTGATAAATAAGATTATGGTTCTAAAATAGAATAAAATATATTTAAGACCGCGGCAGATGAAATTTATGCATTTATGTTAACAGAAAATTAAATCTGACAGGAGAGAGCTAATTATCAATTAAGCTATAATGGAACAAAACGTTCTGAACATTATTTTGGGTAAGTAGCTGTTATTATAATAATTATTATTTAATTTGCGGGGCACGCACACACTTTTAATTATACGACTGCCTGAACTATACAGATGGAATTATTTTTCAAGTATTTTTATGTACGCTGACGTACGCGTCATAGCCAACTAGAACCGAAATCTAAAAATCACACGGTGGTAAAATAAAGCCAAAACCCATTTTTTTCAAGATTTTTTTATCGAATGATAGCGTTGATTTTTTATTCATTACTTAAAAAAGAGAATAGTGTTTCATTTAACCTTTGCCTTTACGACAGTTGAAATGTACTTTTTTTTAATATTGGAGTTTCAACTCCTTCCTTTTCGTATAATAGAACACGTATACGACGCGCGCCGGAATAGGATGTCGAGTTCGAGCTCGGTGTCGGTGTCGGTGTCGAGGTCACCGAAACCGATCTGAATTGAGTCTGAACATCTACATGTAACGCCGTGCTATAGAAACAACGAGAGAAATAAACTATCAAACAATATGTACATGAAACGACTCAGTGAGTTGTGCTGATTTCGTCTCTTAGGACCCCCAGGGTGCTCTAAAAGAACACAACCTACACGCACCACCAGAATTCAGAGTATCTAGACCACAACGGCCCTGAGGATGCAGAAGTGATGCATTGATAATTCTCGGAACTGTGTCTGAGTGAAAGAAGAGTGGAGTGGGAGAGTAGCGTGGGTGTAATCGAACTATTTAATAAAATGTGTTCGTTTGACTGTTTCAACGACTAAATTAGGCACAACAATTGATGCCGTTTTCACACGCTTTATTACTCATTTAAGAACTGATATTTATATCGCTCATTTTAGTCCCCATAGGCCACTAATAACTGTATTAAATGATAGGGATAAAAATACCGAAGGCGATAACGGTATGATTGAACAGTAATTTGTAATTAAATCGAATAAGTTATAAATACTGCTCTAGCATTTGTAAATATTTAGTTGTTACTTTAGTTGGTAAATTACACATTGTACTTTTTTTTACACAATATTATAATAATTAATTATGAAATTTCTATATGATAAATAAACAAAAAAAGTTGACAATACATGGATATTTACTTTAATTAACCCAATCATCATTAATCATCATTTTGGCAAAAAATACAAATGCACCATATTTTTGGTTTTTATTATTTTTTAAAAGAAAATTAGAGACTTCGCCACGTATACGTGTTTAATTTATATAAATTGACAACGCAGAGTTAAAACTCCAACCGTGCGTCCCTGGGTGGACGCACTCTTTTTTTCTATACATTGTTTATCCAATAAATTGTAAAATTTTGCAACCATACACCATTTCATAAGTTGATTTGTGTTTGCAATAGTACCAGTTACCTTATGTTTGTAGTTTTTGGGGAAAAATTTGAAAATTTTAGAACAAAAAATTTCAAATGCTCAATTATCATGAACAATTGAACAAATCAGAATTTATCGGTTCATCCCGTTCAGAAACTGGATGACGTCATCACATTTTTTTTTTATCAAGTGGGGCTTGAAATTTATAGAACCTTCGTTATTTGTCATTTAACATAATTAATTACAAAACCACGATTAAAATTTATTTATTCCTTTCCTCTAGAAAGTTACTAACGTTATTCGCTCTGTAGCAATATATTTTTATTTATTACAATTGTTTATACAGAATGCTATCTGATGGACTTAAAAAGCGAACCATTAAAACTGAAGGTTATATTGAATAAAAACCACGATTTTCGGAAAGTGCACACGGAAAGTGTTTAATGTGCATCAAAATGTATGTTTTTGTATTCTGGATACTATTATGATAAAAAAGTCGTGTAGCCCCCTTTGAAATTTAAGTTAAAAAAAAATTACGTTGGCAACACCAAAGCGTTCCTTTTTCAGTTTGACATTTACAGTGCCTGCACTGAGAACATTATTATATTAAAAATAATTTTCACGGCTTACTAGACGGCTTTTTTCGATCATATTTGTTTGATTAGTTTTGACTAAAATTTTACAATAAAGTTTTACGTAAATTTATTACAAGAAAACTTATTTTTAAGAAAAAAAGTGGAAAATAATCAACGCTCCAAACAATAACACCCGACAATCTATTGTCAAACGTTACTTAGTTTTTGTCATAAAAATACACATTTGTTTGATTTTACTGCCAAATATTGAAGCTTCTTCAGAAATTTGCATACCGAATTTATTTCGGTTTCATAGTTCACATAACCTTCACAAGATCAATTGTCATTCTAATGTTTTGTTTAATAATTCGCATATAGGTAAAATAACGAACCAGTGAACACATTTTTATTTATTTATTTAAAAACTTTAACACCCTTTTGTATTATTTAGTGATTTTGCTTAGTTTTTTTGCATTAAACATGTATGTAAAAGCTGTACAATATATTATGCATACATCAAGCGGGATTTGTCTGGCAAAATTTCGAGATGACGTCATCAAATTTTTGGAGGGGACGATCAAATAAATTCGAATAAGCAATTTACCGTGTTATGCAGATGTGGCCGACAATTTAAAGCGTGAGCAAAATATTTGCTTGACGATAAACTGCAAAATGTGGTTGTATAATTTCCTCGAAGTTTGAAAATTGACGATCTCTAGCCACATTTATGATACCAAACTTGTTTTAAATCATTATGTATATAAATACCGTCATTACTTAATGAGATGACATAATCTGTAATAACATTATAAAACACGGTTGGAAACGGTGATCAATAGATACTTTGCTGAAATTTATACAGTTATATTTCAGTACTTTATATAATTTTGAATGTACAAGAAATAATTTTTAAAATTAATTGCAATAATGAAAAAATTGCAAAAAGATATCCGTGACAATAGAAATAAAATTAGATATTACGCTTGGATTTTGTGTATAGACATAAAAAATATCGATGATGTTATACTTTAAATTTAAAATATCTCGCCGACAGATTTACATGAATATTTATCACATGTAAATTTATATTAAAACAGGTGAATATCATTCACTTTTGAAATCAAAATCTACAAAAACCAAACAGGTGACTCAAGTGTTTTAATTTTTTTTTTTTTTTTGTATACATAGGTACAATCTGAAAACGGTACCACCTTGACATATCAAAATACATAGCTCTGTTTTACGAGTACCTTGTAACATATGGTATTGTTGATTTATTACTATTATTTTCTGACGTCTATAAAATGTCATAATTTATGCATACAGTGTGAATTTCTTAGCTATTCGTTCCACTGTCCCATGACGCAATTCTATTTTTAGTCCTCTTACGAATTTCATTCAATAATTAAATTTCCAGTTACATTTAATCACAAAATGAATGGACTTATGTCAACAATCACATTATCAACACTTTTTGCTCAACTGTGAACACATGAATCATGACAGGTCATTAATGGGAGGAAGTGTGGCCAAACCGCGGTGGTTCCAACATGACGACGAAAAACAAAAATAGCCAATTTAACGTGACACACTGTATACTGCAAAGATGGGACACAATTAATTAAATTTGAAGATTGTCTAGCGTCATGTCCCCCACTTTGATCGCTTGGCGGGAGAAATATGACTAAGACAACGCTATCCTCGTCCTACTTAATTGTGTAATAGTCACCAAAACACTATCGACAAATGTTTGTTTCGACAAATTTTTGCCTCTTATTTGAAAAATGACGTCAGCGATTAATGACGTAAATAAATCAGAGTGAGGTTATTTTGAGCGTGTTTTGCCCCAATTTCTTATTGACCAAACTTTACCTGATCTTTGAACGACAACTCCTCCCTCAAGGTCTGATTGTGGTTCTCCACATCCACCCTCGCCAGAGACTCTTCTTCTAGCTGCTTCCTCAACTCCTCACACTGCTTTCGCAACTTGTCTCTCTCCTTTTCCAAGTCTTTCATATCATTGATGGCCTTTTTGGCATCAGCGTTGGCTTGGTTGTACTTCATTTGGAGCTCGCTACATCTGGTCTCCCAGACTCTGGCCGAGTTCTCCGCGAGTACGAGCGCCTTGCTCTTTTGGGCCAGGTCGCCTTTGAGTTCTTCGTTCTCATCCCAGAGCCTCTTGGTGTCGATTTCGAGTTTGGCTTTCTCCCGGAAGGTTTCGTCCAGCAGTTTCCTGGCTTCCGAGAGCTCGTTGTCGTACATAGCTTTGATGTCCGTCACCTGTCTGGTGACGGTCTCGTGCGTCTTCTGCACTTCCCGGGTGAGGCGGCCGTTTTCGCCCTCCAGGTACCGGACTCTGTCTATGTAGCATGCCAACCTGTCGTTGAGGTTCTGCAGGTCGGCCTTCTCCTGCATGCGGGAGTGGCGCGTGGGGCTCAAGGGACTCGATGGCCGCGTCGGCAGCGTCTGCGAGGCCGGCGTGGAGCTCTTTTTCGATTTGGAGGACATGGTGAGCGATGCACGGCTGGAACACTTGGAGCACTGTCACAGAAAACGCGAATTACACGAAAAGCGGTCGAGGTTGACCCAAGCTGTTCACTATTTTCGGAGATGATGATAGGAGAGCTGCTTGGCGGCCGGTTTAACGGTTTTTCTACAGTAAAATGTAAATAGGTGGGGCTGTGGAAGTGGGGAACTGTATGAGTGACAGGAGCGGAGAAACTATTCGCCGGTAGAGGGCGGAAGCGAATGACAGTTGTCGCACGTTTGTTTTTATTTTGAATTTTGAAACTGTGAAATTTATATTTAGAAAACAACAAAATTTATAGAATTTAAATATAAATAAAATATACAGCTTTCAGTCTAGTTCTATCTCAACTGATATCGCTAACGGTAAATTAGTGATCTATAATGAAAAGAAGAAATTTACATTAAAAAAAGTTTCTCAGGTGTTCTATCACCTTTACGAGTAATAAAGAGCCTGCCTGAACTGGAAATGCAACCCAAAATACACCTTTACAGCAGTCATGAATAATAATAATTTTATAAAGTTGCAGACAAAACTTAATAACAAAAACGTCATTTAACTTCAATTTGTCTTAACAACAGTGGCATTTACATAAAAATTGGTCGAAGATTGTTTCAACAGAAGTTCCCTCACCTATAAAGTACAATACATCAAATACAGCTGTTCCGAAAAATTATAAAATTTGATTTTTAGAATTTTAAAATTAAAATAAAAATATGTATATATGTACATATGTAATATTCAGGTAAATGTAAAAAAGCGTGTTATGCGTTTGTTTCAAGTGAGTTTTTCCATTACGAAATTTTGTGAGAACGTCATCAACATTTTTGCAAGGACACGTATATGAATTTGGATAGATGCAATATAATACTAAATTAATAACATTACAGTATTCCTAAATTTTCAGGAAAATGGAGTGAGTCGTTCTTGAATCTTGATTGAATCAATAAATAACGAAACAATTTAAAAGGCATTTAATAAAAATACTCGTAATTTAGGACAAATAGCGTAAGGCTTGTTGAGATTATACATGTGGGACATAAGACATTGCATTTTATTTCGATTTTCGATGTGGTACCTAATTCACATTTGGTTTATTATAAGTTGTCTAGAATTACGGGAGGCAAAAATTTCTCTAGGGGGGCTTAGCCTTGCTCTAGCTACGGTCTTGTCTAGAGGCCATGAAACATCGAGAAAATATGAAAATACCTAGTCGTTTGATGAACTCGACTATTCTTCTTTAGTTTACGCTAAGTAAGTAAAAATTGCTTCTCAGCAATAACCTGAAGTGTTTATATTTATACAAACTAATTTTTACATCAGGTAGAAAAAATTAGAGAGTGATTATTTTTATTAAATTCATTTTATCTAATAATGACAAAAAGAGGGTAAGGTGGTTAGACATATATATTTTGATTAAAAATTTATCTTTCTTGCGATAAACTTGAAACGTCTACAAAATTTCAAAGCATTCGATTTTGTAGTTCCTGATTTAATCCACAAAATAATGGACTCATTCATTAACTTTTTTGAGTCACCCTGTATAAACAGTTCAAAAAATATGAAGGCATGGATAAATCACAAACATACACTCCTCATATTTTGCACATTTTCGATAGGATTCATTCAGTAAAATTTTGACATGATGTCATCAATTTTTTGCGGGGACAAACAGATATATTTTGGTTAAAAATTTACTATGCTTCATCGAGGTAATCAGGTAATATAACCTACCTCCATGCCACGTTTACAATAGGTAACTTTAAAGTGTCTGCAAAATTTCAACACTTTGAGTTTTACAGTTCCTGATAAAATAAATTGACTAATTCACTAATTTTTTGAGTCACCTGTATAAGCAATTCTAAAAATATTTTGCACATTTTCGAAAGGATTATTTATTTATTCAGTAAGATTTTGAAATCACGTCATCAATTTTTTGAGAAGATAAATACAAATATTTTGATTAAAAATGTAGCATGTTTTTACTTGCAATAACTGTAAAACGTCTGCAAGATTTCAAAGCATTCGGTTTTGCAGATTCAAAATGAAATTACAAAATCAGAAAATCTCGGCTAACAACTCTGTACCTGCGAGCGCAAAGTGCGTAACTCCAAATTGTCAGTTTTCAGTGAGAGCAATTATTTGTGGCTCATTTTACATTCCAGACAAATTATTAGCTTATTCTAAATATATAATACAAAATATTGAATATAACAAACAAAAAATTGTAAATACCTGAATTAGACAAAAAAGCGTCAACATTTTTTAGCAAAAAATAACATTATCCAATTTTATGTAAAAATGGAGTTATGCACTTTGCGCTCTCAGGTACAGAACTCAACACGGATTCATAAACTACACGGAAGGGACTATGTTATTTTATATAATTTACTAGATACAATTTTGAAGTGACGTCATCACACTGTTGACGGGGATGATTAGACCAAGTTTAGTTAGCGTTTTACCTCTACATGATATTTATAATATGCATATAAAATTTGACAACAAGCGGTCCAGTAGTTTCAGAGACTGCCTGTTTAACAAAAAATGACATAGACGGCGGACAGACAGATTGACAGACGGAAAGTAGAGACCTATGTTTTTGTACTCTAGAAGTGATAACCTATCGAGAAAATGTAAAAGTAGCCAGCCACCCGATGGACTCGGTTACAATACTTCCTTAGCTTACGCTCGGGAAGTAAAAATAACTGCTCCCTACGTCTTTCAAATTTTTTGTTTAAAAGTCCCCCCTCCGCCTTCCCAAATTTAAAAATTTAATTTTAGTTGGCCTTTACTTACAGATCTACACAAAATACTAATTTATGTAGGTAAATATTTAGTGTGTAAATTTTAGCTTCACGACATGACTTCAAATACTTCGTAACGAGGTTTCCTGAGTGGTGCATAGAACATTTTTTCTACGACTACAAATATTAATCTCGAGGAAATTACAAAATCCAGTCGTTTCCAAAAAATTCATGACCAGATCAGGTTTTCATAGATCACTGAAAAGCAATGGGAATATGATTTTCATGTCAATGTCATTTGCCCGAATTTTTTTGGAAACGACGATACGGTAGATAAATTTATACCAAAATATGGATAGGGTAAACAAGAAATTATTTATTTACTGAATGAAGACAACAGAATGATATAATTAATGGTCGAAATTTTACAATTGTTGAAATTCACTCTTGATTCTGATGAGTGATAAGTTTCATGTTTTCAATATGTTGTTCAATCAGGTGCGGATACACATTTCGTTTAAGGGGTGGGGGGCAATTTTTGTGCGATTTTACTTACCTATGTCCCAGAAATTCGTTCTAAAGAAAAAAATTTATAAAATTTTTGCTAGTATACTCTTTTTCACATAACATAAATGACATTTTTTGGTTGTTTTCGTTACACGTGTAATGTGCAGTAGAACCTCGATAATCCGGATTAATTGGGAAAAAGGTGTGTTCGGATTAGCGATTTGTTGGGATCAGCGATTTTCCTAAAAATCTGAAAGGAAATTGAATAACAACTTCATACACAGCTGAAAACAAACTTCGAGAAATAAACCTTAATTTTATTAAACAAAATTAAAGAATTCTTAAGCAACGATGGATAATAGATACATTCTAAAAAAATATGACTCCGTGACCATAAACACGCTATCTCTTTGGCCGAGATCTATACCTTGAATTTTTAGATAAATTTTTCAAAAATGAAAGTTTCCATTATGTACTCCTATTAGGACCTCCATTATGCAAATTTCGACCCATTCTTGACGATTTTCGAAATTTAACTAAATACATTTTCTTGTAGATTTTGGACCTTAGAAGTCACTTCTGGCTTCATTTCTTCGATAACTTAAACCATTTTTCCGGAATCGTCCAGTTGAAATATCGCAATTTTTAAAAATCTCGAAAAATGCGAATTGCAGACCGAATTTTCCGAAAAGATTGCTCCGTTACCATAAACATGCTATATTTTTGGAATCAGCACGTCGGGATATATATCCCTGAATTTTTTCAGAATTTTTAGATAACTTTAAAAAATGAAATTTTCCCTCATGCAAATTTCGACTCATTTTCGACAATTTTCGAAATTTAACTAAATACTTTTTCTTGTAGATTTCGGGCCTCATTTCTTCGATAACTTGAACCTTTTTTCCAGAATTAGTTCATTAATTCAGTGCATTGAAATATCGCAATTTTTAAAAATTTCAAAATATTCCATACAACATGTGCCGAAAGATCTTGCATCATTTTTGCAAGTAGGTGCATGTTTTCAATTCGGATTGCAGAGTTTCTGTTCGGAATAAAGAGGCATCGACTTCAAATAGTCTCTGTTCAGATAATCGTGGGTTCGGATTATAGAGGTTGTATTGTATTTAGAAAATGAAATGCGATTTCAAATCAAAATTTTGAAATTGGTCAAAATAAAGTACCTCGGTCGTGTGTTAGGGGCCTGTGTTCAATACATTGGTCCACAACCACGAATAATGAAGAGCTTGTCTGAATTCCAAATGCAACCCAAAATATACGGTACCGCGTCAATTCGTCGTGCACAATTCGTCGCGCGACAATTGACCCTTTTCCTGTAAGATCGTAAAACTTCCATCGTGACTTTCCGTGCGCACGCATCTTCAAAACCACGTTGGAAATAGTATCCGGCACTCCGGCAGCAGAGCAAAGGCCTGTGACCACAGTATAGACAACAGTCAGTATGGACAATTCGTGTCGGCACCTTTGATCTTTTTGACCCGAATTTTAAGCCGTCATCGGTGGTCGTTGTCCAAAATATTTCTAGATGTCGCCACCTAATTTAAAAAGGATCACAAACGCTTTATTTTAAAATTGATTCGTGTACACAATTTACTACACTTTGTGCAAATGAATTTTTGGAAAAGACTTAAAAATAGTGTAATAACAATAACATTTTATAACTAGTTGATCTTAGAAACCACACAGTCTATTATAATAAATAATTAATTAAGCGCCCTATAACAGGGATGCCATGTTGAAATTTAGATGTGGCCCGTTTCTCTGATTACGATTTTACGTTTCATTAATTTCTTTTTCATGATGGCTGTAAATGGTTGTAAAATTCAACTTTATTAGAAAATGCTAATATATGTACATTTAATTTTTTTACAAAAAAAAAAAACAGTAAACAATGGTCCTATGAAAACGTGAACAACGCTTTTTAAAATGTCTGTATGAAAATTACACTTAACTGCAATAATTACACCGGAAGATCAGCCTTAAACCATCAAAACCAATGCAACTAAACTGCCAAATTTCAAATATTTCACAATTCGCATTAACGTCACTAGATAACAAAAGTACCGCAGTTCAATGTCCCAATGTGTAAGAAAGAGAAGTACCTTGCGTTGCGCGCCCTCATACGGTCACAAGACAAAGGACCACCCATGAAAACGGGTCAGTAAAAACAGCGAGTTGTCTCTACTGATTGATATCTATACTGTGCTGTGACAACAAACCGCTTTGACAGAATGCAACCGGCTACACATGCGTAATCTGTCGCTCATTGGTTAATTTTAACTTGGCGCTCCAAAAATCTAACGTCGCCTGCGCGATGTTGTCTCACTCTGTATCATTGGAATTTATATAATGTCTACTCACTTTGCTTACAGGAAAAGGGTCAATTGATCGCAAACAACTGATCGCAGCGTCAACTGGTCGCAGCGACAACTGGTCGTAACGACAACTGGTCGCAGTCACAATTGATCGCAACACAATTCGTCGCAAGTACAACTGGTCGCATGCGACAATTGATCGCAGGCGAAAAATGATAGCGTTTATAGAGAAATAAGTAATTGTTATGAATGAGGAAAATAAAATAATGTGCTATATTCTCAAAAATTTCATTATTTCTAAAAAAAAGTGTCAAAATAAATACATACGAGTTCCATAAAAACAGTAACTATTAGGCTCAGTTCCGACTAAACCAAAGTGCAAAAGAGTGAAAATATTGTAAAATATTTTTTTTAATGCTGACACATCTCGTCGGTATGCTACTGTAATGTTCATTTGGATTATTCGTCTTATTGATTAGACGCTCAAGTAAGTGATTCAAGCTTTTCTTCTCACAAATTTAAAGTTTGTCAATTAAACGAGTGAAAAAAATAGCTTTCAAAACGTGTTAGACGTCATTTTTCTTTAATAAAAAATGGTTTTAAAATTATTACAATTGTCAAATTAAAAAGTTATAGATAAATCGTGAAAAAACCCTCGTTACAGTTTTAAGTGAAAAAGTATTATTTTCATTACGTTCGATAGTTTAAAAAATTAAATATATATATTTTTTAATAAATTTGGTGCAAAGAAATTTGAATTTATATATTAACAATTAATCTTGGAGTTTATTGCATTCTTTGCAGACAATTTTTTGCTCACTACAAATTAGTTCTGGATTATCTTTAATCCATGATAAAACCAAAGATGTTTTTTCATTCAGAACTTTTTTGAACGCTCACACTGTTAATACGGCACTTGTAGATACCAAAGAATGAATAATTTATCTCGTTCCCTTTGCTAAGTACCTACACACGAATCTCCACTTTTACGTCATTTCTGTAAACAAGATCGTAAAAAGATTAGTTTTGACCATGGAGCAAAGGAATATGCTCTTACTGGAGGAAGTGCCAGACTTAAAATGATGGTTTCGAGCCAAACCGGTAAAGTGTCAGTACAGTACCCCTCACTATCCAGATTAGACTGCCGATGACAGTGACGTACAGTTTTTTTTTTTTTGAAGCGGCTCATGGAATAAAATTTGTTGAATAAAACAACGCACATAACAGATTTATATTCTCTATTAATTAATATTATTTAAAATATTTAAATCAATCAATACATCACGAGTAACAAGTAATACAAACAGTGAATACCGTTAAAAAGTAGAAACAACCAGGATGACGACGCCACTGAGTAGTGGTTATTCGTAATGGCGTGACTAATTTTTAGCTTGGGAAGTTTGAAAAGTTTATTGAAGGGCATTTCACTCGGAAGGCCGACTATTCATACTCACAATTATTTGCCTAATCTGCCGGATGTAGGTGGGCTTCTCCAGCCCATGTTGTAAATTTTTGTAGGATGCAAAGTGCGGAGAAGAATAAAAACAGGTAGCAGCCCGTAGTAGGGTCATTCATGGAAAACTGCGAACCAATTATTTTTTCCATTTTTTTAAATCTGAGATCTGTTTTACACGTCACAGAAATATCAATCGTAAAAGGAATTTTTAGAAATAATTTTCTCGTCATTAATCGGTTGCAAAAGATCAAGAGGCACTCGAAGCAAGCCCTGACAAACTTATAAGCGGCGCCAGCGGAGATCTCCAACTGGCTGCGGTACCACCATGGACACTTCGTAACCTCCTTTTCCAGAATTGTCAAAATGACATTGCCAAACTCAAAGCAATCATGAATTAAGCATTTCATTTTAAATTCAGTTAGTATCAAGTGGTACATGGTATTCGTATTTTGGGTTGCGTAAAAATAATTTTCAGAAATAATTTTCTCGTGACTAACCCTGTATATGTATTTTTTTACAGCCACATATGGTACAACTGAATTTTTCTTCAGTACAATACTAGTCACATAATAATAATTAAAAAATAAGTTTTTAGTTGCATAAGTACCTACATTTCTTAGATTTCCCGGTAACACAAAATTATTCTTGACGCTCTAATAAAAGTTTTTGCAATATATATTTACAATACACGTAAACCTTTCTCAAACCCTGTAAAAGATCCGTTGCAATTTACAAGGGATTAAAATAAGTATTATATCCGTCCAGTGGAATTTACATTCGCTGCATATGGATACTCTACATGTACTATTAGTTCATTAATTTTATTGTTTGGTGATATGTATAAAGACAAGAATAGACAATAGAGGCAATTCTATATCAAAATGTGTTAAAATTTAAAGGTTGTTAAAAATATGATTTTTTAAATAATTGTAGTCTAGTTAAGAACAATAAACACTTGTTTTTATGTTGAGTACTTATTATAATGAAGCTAGTTCCTATAATATAATAGGTAAAATAAGCAACGAGATAAATAGAAACAATCTCTTAAAAAAATAACCAAAATGACAATTTATTAATAAAAAATCTTATGTAACGAGGTGTTTACGCTCGTATTTTTTAATTTTTAAAGTGCAACTACAAACTTCGTCACTTATCTATATTCAAATTGTTTTTAATTCGATATTTACACCTTACCTGATTGCTAAATTTATTGCAACTTAAAATTCAGAATACAAAATATTTAGTTTTAATAAAAGAAAATACTTCCCGATGAATTTTACCTTGCGATCAATTGACGCTGCGATAAATTTACGTACGATCTATTGTCGCTGCGATCAATTTACGTGCGACCAATTGTCGCTGCGATCAATTGTCACCGCGATCAATTGTCGCGTGCGACCAATTGTGCTGCGACGAGTTGCTTGCGATCAATTGTTTGCGACCAGTTGTCGTAGAATCAAAATATACATTTATATGGGTATACATTGGAGTTTTGACAAAAAACGCTTAAAATTTTCAAAAACTTTCTTTGTTTCCTATCTTTTTCACTTCGATAATATATTTTCAGAATGTACTTTATCCATTATTAACAGACTTATTAGACAGCGGCAGTTTTTTTAACAGTTTACTATCATTATTCTTTTAAAATTCTGTTGAAATGTTTCATCATGTATTTTTTAAAAAACAATATCTCAATTATATTTATGGAAATTTTGGAACACGGTTTTCGCCACTGTTTTCAGTTTAGAAAGCGCTATGGAAAACACTGTCGATTTCTTTTGTTGAAAATGAGATACAGTAAAAGTAGTTTCTTCAATACAAACTTCTTTCTAGTGTATTATTTACAACTATTAATTGCTGATTCATTTTTGCCCAGTTAATTGTACTTGCTTTTTATTTTTAGTATTGTCTGCTGGTCTTTGATTGAAAATTAATTAATTAATTAATTATATGAAGTATTATTTACAACCAAAAAATCGACAATGTTTCCCAGGCAATGTATAAAATTCTGCAAGCTGAAAACAGTGGTGAAAACTGTGTTACGAAATTTCCATAAACAATAAAGATAATATTCATTAAAAAAATTGCAATGAAAATTTCACTAAAATGTTAAAAAGAAGGTGACGAACTATCATTCTGTTTTAAATTAGACTTGTTTGCAACAAATTTGCATCTCGATTGGCGCGAAATTTGAAATAAAGAGAAGATATTCTAATAAATAGGCTCGAATATTTATCCCGATATTTTTCGGGTATCTAATTATTAATAACATTGTTTACAACACAAATTAATGTAATAATACTGGTTAAAATGCTGCCCACCATTTGTTTCATACGCTCCAAATGACTCGGATTAAAGCATCTGATGACTGTAAGATATGTTCTATAGTTTTTCTTATTGTATTTTCTCGATGTTCTATGCTGTTAATTGGACTTAGAGTCTTGTGAAAACCTTTTGTTAACTTTTTGGCACCGTATAATTACACTATGACGAATGGTAATGGGTGAGTGAAAACAGTAGTAAAAAGTGCAATAACATAAACATTACATGCAGTATGTCAGCTAATAAACGTGACTGTACATTGTTACGTTTGTCTAGTATTGATCGTTTAATTGTAAGCGGCAAATCGATAGGTTCAATTTTTTAAAGCCATCTATGATGTAAGGAACCTTTATATGCATTTTTTACAATTCGTGATGTACTACTTACCCTGGATGACGCATGTCATGTCTCATGCGTTACTTGCAAGTTTTTTTTTTATATGATAATAATTAAACAAGAATAATTATAAATTTACACACATGTTGATAAGATCATCATACCAACATGTGAAAAAAAAATCCTTTGGTCTCCATCCTTCTATTATTATACCGGCTATGTGAGACCAATCAGATTCATCAGATTTTTCCAAAGACATCCTCCTTTGATCTTTTTGCTGTAAACGAGCAGTTAGTCAGAAAATTTTAAAACTGTTGGTCCAAGATACATTTTATTGCTTCTTTAATGTTATTGTAGGTACGAAAGTACACTTATTGCAACAAATCACAATGAGGATTACAATTTAAAAAAATAAATAGATATATTATACACATTAGAAAAAATGATTATACATATTACGATTCGTTATGAAGAATCGACGTTCACATAGTCACAGTTGCAACATGACCCCTATGCAACATTTTTTCTCTACTCAGCAAATAAATCTTAACGATTGTAACAAAAAAGCCAGCCAAATTATTTAACTTATAACATTCCAAAAAGACAACCCATCCATTGGTGGTTTTTTGTAAGGTAATCATAAAAGATCTTGTTTCAAGTTGGCTTGAAGGTTCGTGAATTGTACCGCCTCGTTGTGATGATTAATGACTACGACATAACTGCCAGAAATGTCAATCATAACCTAACTTTCTAAAGCTTTTTTTGCTTCTTGATTCAGCTGGAATGATTTTTTGCTACGTGTGTTAAGGAAAGGGTGAACTGTCATTAAAAATCACTTGATGCAGGGTCTTTTACAACCACCTTGTGTAACAAGTGTTGAAACTGTAAGATAAATGTTTCTTGTATGCTTAGTGCTGCTATAAACTTGTACGTCTTCAAGAAACAATATTAACACATTGTAAAGTACCACTAATAGATAGTCTCCATCAGTCAATAAAATTTTTCTAATCTGACTGGTTCTCACAAGAAAGAACAAGAGACTCCATTATTATCACATAAATAGTGCATACAAACAATTAACATTGTTACTTCTAGTGAAAAGCAAATCAGTCTTAACAGTCAAATTTCCATTGAAAAGCCAGAAGAATAACTTATGTAGGTTTGGTTCTTCTCTGTGATGGAATAGGTGGATGAAGTGTCCTAACTTTAACATTAGGCTTTTTCTTATCACCAGTGTGATAGTTGAGATACTGCGTATTCTTATAACTGGAACAATTGGAATCAGCAATACTTCGACCATCTCCTTCATCTCGTCGGGACATTTCGGAAAAAGGGGACAGACGTTTAGGCTCCATTTCACCTTTTGTTTTAGTTTCAGCTCTAGCAATTTGAAATTTTCTGATCACAAACTTATCTCTAGTATGAAAACTTACCTTAAACCCTTTTTATTTTTCACTTCTCGTTCCAAAATATCTGCTGTCGTAAGATCCGAACTCTGTATTTGTTGTAAACTTCCGCCACCTTCCGACATCCAGGGTTTCGTTACTTTACCTTTGCATCCGCAATCCTCCATTTTGCAGCGAATACATAAATGAGGCTTCAACTCCTCACTCATATCTGACTCTTCCAAAATACCGAGAGTAATCTTTTCGAGAACGCTTCCGTCGGTTTGGGGTGTGGCATTGGAAGTTTGATTAAGCAAGAGTTTGGAAAGAGGGGGAGCTAATCCTAACCCTATATTGCGTTCGTGGTATACTTCCGAAATCGTGGGTGTTAATTCCCGATTGATATGGCGCAACTGTGTCGCTAGAATAGTATCATGAAGACTCGTAGACTGATTTTTACTTTCGGTTTTATTAAGTTCTGGTGCTGGCTCGTCGGTGTCGTTGGCTTTGATCTTCTGTGATGTATTATCTATGTCGTTTGGAGAGAAGTACAGGAGTCTTTCGTTAGCTGGAAGAGTTTCCTCGCTCGGAAGTGTGATCGGTTTTCTAGTTTGACCCATAACATTCTGAGCCGGTGTCAACTCAGTTCTAACACTCAACCGATCTAGCGTAGACATGGCATTCCTCGACTTTCTATACGCGATTTTGTTTCTACCAGCAGTGTTAAAAAGTTTCGCTTCCATTTTTTCTAGCTCACTGTCGGAACTATTCTCGAATACTCTAGTTGGTAAGTTATTGTACAACGACAAGTCCACGAGAGGTTTCGTCCTAGATGGCGGTAGTGGTGGTATTTGGTGTTGGGTCTGCCGTCTTAGAACCGTCGCATGACCGTTATCCCAATCCGTTGCTGAGCTTGCAGAACTCGAACTATCTGGTCTCAAATGATCAGTCTTACCCTCACTCTGTGAATACAAATTCTTAATTCGGGTTTGGTGAGCCAACGATAGAGCCATATTTTGACTTTCGGATTGTAGTACCACCGGAGGACTCGGAGTAAACGCAGACTCGGTATCACCAGGTCTCCCAATATTGTTCTTTCTAGTTTTATTGTCGAGTATCGTTTTGGTGGTGTCTGTCGGATTTGCGGTACGACCGTCAGGTTCACCCCGCCGTCGGACATAACTAGTGAACGCACCGCCCAACCGCTTACTTGGTAGTACCGTTCGAGCAAAAGCCGGCGGCATTCTCGGTTTGTTCTGGGGAGATTTTGGGGCCGAACACATGTTGAGTTCGTTATCTGAATGAGAGAAGTCGTTGTCGACTGACGCCAGCGATTCTAGACTACTTGATGAGTCGATAGTGAGACTCTTGGGGGCTTCTTGCGTATCTGCGAAAATATTGTTAAAGACAACTTAACTAAAGATGAGACAGGCGCGTACCAAAAAGGGCAAGAAGGGCTTGCAACGTGAATTGAATGTTACGCCGGTTAGCTTGTTTCCCAGTTCGTAGGGTTACTTTATCTTGACCTACATCCGAAAGGTCGAAACCTAGAGATGCTAACAGTTCGTGACAACCAGGAACTCGCCATAACCTTCAAATTCAAACACTTTGGTATATGTTTTTAGTTGTGAGTGGTTGACTGACCTGACGTTGAGGGCGACTTCAACACTGTCAGTATCTGATCCCTTGGACGAAAACTGCGCAAGCGCTGATTGAATAACACCTATAATATCATCAGCGACGTCAGAATTTAACGTAAGTTTTGATAGCGCTTGGATCGACGTATTGGTTAATCCTAAAAGGGCTTGAAGACTTGCTGAACACTGGGTCAAACGCTCATCTGGATCAGACTGGGGAAAGAAAACGCTGCTGGGGATTCCGTTGGACGCCGGTTCGAATCTAAACCCAACTGACATCAGCAGCTCGCGCCAGCCAGTAATAGAGCCCACCTAGAAGCCCCAGTTACACATTTCAAAAATCCGCGTTTGTAGAATACCTTATTTTCAATGGACTTTTGGGTGGTGTACATCGCATTCTTTTGTCCTCTATGTATCCGCTGAAGACTTTTTTCAACCAAATGCAACGTCACTCTTAAAGCATCTCTACATTTATCTGGAGTTTGTAAAAGTTCGCATAGCGCTTGACCCATCATTGCCACTTTATTAGATAGACGAACATTTAACCCGACGAGAAGAAAACCGGCCCAATTAGCGGGATGGGCAAAGTGTTTTGTGTGTTGTACGGTCTGCATAGCTTCAGCTAGAGCTCTGGAAAAAGTCGGTTTGAATGTTTCCCATTACAAGAAAATTCTTACTTAGCGGCCCTAGTCCCTTGCAACATGGCTGAATAAAAGGCCCGAAGTAGAATCTTTGAAGCTGTTTCAGGCACAGGCCATAGTGAAACTAACACAGCTTGGGCTCCCGCTGCTAACAAAGCCCTAACTAAGGCAACCAAGCCGTCTGAAGTAGCCCATCCTTGTTGGTCACGCGTGTGAGATGAACTTACCACGACCAACCTTGCGGTTAGCCGCAACGATAAAATATCAGCTGCGCTTAACAAAAACTCTGATAGTGGTGGCAATTCTGCGGTGGTTGACAATTCACTACTTTCGTCTTCTTCATTTGGATCAGTTAAATATAATCTTTTAGACTGGCTTTGATCTAGAACTTCCGCAGGACTGAGTACTAAGGATGATAGTTTCCACGAGACGTGAGTGGAAAAGTGTACACATTCAGCGTCTTGTATTTGGTTAAGGATTTGTTCCTTCGTGGCAGAACCGCCGAGTAAAACCTGTGCTTGTAACAGTTCTGCAACCATAGTAGCTTCTTGTTCCGCTTGAGGTATCTCTTTCCAACCCCAGTGTTCCGTAACAGCACTCGGAAGTTTTGGGTTACCGACAATTAGGCTTCGTACCGCTTGGTCACTTTCTTGTTTTCGGGTACGGCCACCACGAAGAGACGATATGTTTGGTACTATTAGAAGAGAAAATCTCTCGCAGAGGTACTCAGAATTTTCACTCGAAGAACGAAGAACTGGGAACGGTACCAAATACAAATCACCCTCTAGTACTAGAATGAGCTCACGCCGATTAGTATTATCTTTACTTGACGAAGTTTTAGTTGGTAGAAAGTCTTCAAAGGGTTGTATGAGCAAAGTGTACAAAGCATGCAGACAAGATGGTCCCTTCCATGCTTGTCTAGCCGCTACTCTAGTTGAACCTTGCGCACTGGTGCTAGATCTAGTGGAACCTTGTAGAGACGCAACTGAACCTCCGACGCTTCCTAAGGAGAATAAGGAGCTGAGGGAGTAATTGCTGCTGTTCAAAAGATGTTGACGATTGACCATTCTAAGGAAACCAGTTCTTTCGTTAAGTGTGTCGTCCGAGTATTGATCTTCGTTGATGGTAGAACATGGTGACAATTCAACCCCTAAACTATCTCGCACCGAAGTAACCAGTTTCTCTAAAATGCCCGTACTGCTAGGTATCGGGTCGTTCTTATCACAATTTTCTTGTTCGTTGTTTTCATGTAAAAGTTTTGAGTGGAATTTCACGACCCCTTTAGTAGGAACTATCAACCACGCATAGAGGAACCCTGCAGCTACACTATAATAAAGCACCGACGCCCGTTGCCTATTGACTATATCTTTGATTTGATCTAAACTATTAGTCGCAATATCGTCAAATCTGCTGTGTTTGTTTTTCGTTCTACTATCATTTAAACCTTGCCTTTCCAGCAACAAGTCAACAAACGCTCTATTCCTGCCTCGCTCAGCCACTACCAAAGCCTCGTCTTGGCGACTCAACCCAACTAACACCCTCTGTAAAACTTGATAACTGGAAGTTTGCAGCTCAAAGAGTGACAGTTTGTAGTCGGGGGTATTTCTAGCTTCGCGTCTAATAGTTTCCAGTAAGTGAGTCGCCGCTTCGAGTTGCTTTTGAGCACCATCTAAATCACCGTTAGCCCAAAGGGTCAAACCAAGACGATTACGTATCCTTGCTTCTTCGTCTCTTCTACCAAGAGCTTCAGCAATGCATAGGCCTTGCGTCAAATAGGCCACAGCTTGTGTTCTGTTACCTAAAAGTTGGTGAACCCGTCCGAGGGAACTGTACGCCATGGTTTTGGCTAACTGGTCGTTGGTACTAGCGGCAATTTGTAGATGTTGTTCTTGGTATCGTACCGCTTGTTCTAGATTACCAAGGGCTTCGTGCACCGCACCTGTGTACAAAAACTAGTGGATGAGTAGTCGCACGTTTTTTGGACTTACCCAAATTGCCGTAAGCCCTACTCTGCAACACCGGCATTCCGAGTTGTTCCGCAATGTCGAGATCGTTCTGGTGGTATCTAAGAGCAGTCGTATACTCACCCATCTGCTGGTAAACTGTACCTAACCCGCAAATAGAATCCGCTTCCATTATCTTATCATCTATAAGCAACACAAATCATAATGCTACCTAGACAAAAACAGATTAACTGACTTAATTCTCGTGCGATGGCTTTTTGGTGGTCCAAACAAGAAATCGCCTGTTCCAAATTACCCAAAGTCGCATGTAGTTGACCTAACTCTCCATAAGCAGCTGCTTTAGCATCAGGACTACCTAATTCATGAGCCACAACTAGTCGTTTCTCTAAACAAACTAGGGCCTGTTGAAGATTACTGAGGGCTTTTTGGGCTTGACCCAACCCTCGGTACGCTCGTTCTTGGTCTCGTACACCCTTCAGTTTTAAAGCGATAGCTAGATATTGTTCGTGACATTTTGCCGCCTCTTCTGGATCTCCCAAAGCATCGTAACAATCACCCAAATTACCAAAAGCTCGACCTTTGTCTAGCTGAGCCGTCGCAGAGCTTAACCTTTCTAAGGTTGCTAGTTGTTGTTCAAAATAACCTATCGCGTCTTCGTAATGGGCCATATTTAGTCTTGCTATACCTAGGTTGCCGTAGGCTTGAGCTTCCACAGCACAGTCTTGTAGTTCTTGAGCACGCTCTAGTTGTTCTTGGTAGCATTTAACCGCGTGGGTGTAATTACCTAGTGCCATGTGAACAGCACCTAGGTGACCATGGGCACGACATTCTCCTGATAGTTCGGACATTTCTTGTCGTAGAGTTAGTTCTTGGGTGTGATAACCTAGGGCCTTGTCTAGGCGTTTTAGTAACCTGTGGGCTATGCCTAAGGCGCCACAAGCTGCAGCTTCCATACCTCTGTCTCTGTTGCTTCGAGCTAAGGCTAATTGTCGGTGGTACATTTTGACTGCTTCTTCGGTTTCGCCCATTTTTATAAGAACGTCACCAATATTGCCCAGCGCACGAAATTTACCTAAAATGTAATTTTTATTTGAATGATTGATAGTTTTTGGCTTTTGTACCAGGCAAATTGTTGGTCATGTGGGCAATTGCGAGAAAGTACTTTTGGCACTCAAGAGATGTCTCGAGTTGACCTAGCGCTAAATGAGCCAAGCCTAGATTGCAATAAGCTCGTCCCATGTTCATTTTGTCTTGCAAGTCTTTGGCTAAAGCTAAGTCCTGGTCGTAGTACCTGACGGCTTCTCTGTAGTTACCGATGCAATAATGGGCATATCCTAGAGTTAACATGACGTTACTTTATTCAGTGATAGAACAATCCGGTCAAAGCGATTTAAAAAAATAGGCAACCGTGCATTTTCAACAAGCGGGTGAAAATTTTTCATCTTCAAAATAAGGGTGCAAATAGTTTTTAATTAACTCTGGAACCGTGAGTCTGACCATATAATTATAATAAAATTTATAAGTAGAAAAATGAAAAACTTGATAAGAACATGGTTTTATGCGTCCTTGAGCATTTAGCAAAATACACATAGTGACAGGCGGCACGCTTCCATTACCTACTATCATTCATATAAACTGTGCATAAATCGGCACAAAAAATATTGTGGATCACTCACCCAAAATATGTTTTGGCTAATACTCGTTATTTGCAAGACTCACTTGCACAAAAAAGCTGCCTACACAAAATGCACGGTTTTATGCTGAACTGACTGTATTAAAACGAAAAATATGTGTACCTAGAAAATGACAGGCTTTGGCTTCTCCTTCAACATCGGCAAGTTCCTGAGACAACATCAGGTATTGTTCGTAATACGGTATTGCTTCGGCGAATTCAGACCTCGAACTAAGACAGTTGGCTAAATTTAATAACGCGCATGCTTCTCCAGCAGTATCTTTCAATTCTCTAGCGATACCAAGATGAGCTCTATAATGCAAAAGTGCCATATCGTGGGCACCCAAAGCTTGATACGCCACAGCCAAATTCCCATGGGTACTTGCTTCGGAACTCCTATCGTGTACTTCCTTACTGATGGTCAGTTCTTGCTTGTGGTACTTGATTGCGGATTCGTAAAACCCCGCAGCAGAATAGGCGTTACCTATGTTACCATACGCACGTCCCATTCCAGCCCTATCTTGGAGATTCCGAGCAATCGCTAAGTGAGCTTGGTGAAGTTTCAAAGCAGCGTCGTATTCACCCAGCAGCTGATAAACTATACCCAAGTTAGAGCAAGCCCTTCCTTCTCCAACTTTATCTCTTGTGGCTAGAGCGACATCTAGTTGTCTCTCGTGCCACTGTTTTGCTTGTACGTAATCCCCGGCACACCTCGCGGCATGACCTAAGCCAGCGTAAGCCCTAGCTTCAACGGACTTATCACCTATGGCTTGCGCTAGTCTGAGTACTTTTTCGTGGTAAACGATGGCTTGGGCGAAATTTCTTTTGTAATGGTGACTAGAGCCCAAGTTGCTATAAGCTCTGGCTTCTTCGACTTGGTTACCTAAGCGTCTGGCGATGCGTAGGTGTTGCGTATGACAATCAACTGCTGAGTCAAAATCTCCCATTGCTAGATATACGGCCCCCACATTACCGATCTCTCTAGCTTCTTGTAGTCTGTCACCCATTTGTTTGACTAATTGTACGCACTGTTTGTGGCTGGCGAGGGCGTTTGGGTAATCACCAATGGCAGTGTACACGTGCCCTAGTGATGTTAGGGCCGCAGCAGCAGCTTGAGTATCCTACCAGAAGGTTACATGAAATGAAATTAACGCAATCCACAATTTTTGGTGTAACACTAGTTATGGCCACTTTGAGAAAAATATCTGAACTACTAAGCTTACCTTACACTTCATCGCGAGTACCAGTTGATATCGATGTGCAGTCAAGGCTTCTTTGTACGATCCTTGACTAAAATAGGCCGACCCGAGATTGCCATGAGCCCTGCATTCACCAGCAGTATCCCCCAAACTTTTAGCAATGGCTAGATCTTGTTGCATGTACCCTATAGCCTTATCCAACTGATTCAGTGCCCAATGCGCAGAACTCAGCGCGCTGAACACCGAACCCCTCAACTTTAAAGAACAAGAACCTATCCTTAAAGCCGATTCTAATACTGTGACGGCGGAATGATACAACCCAGCAGCTAACAACTCTTGTCCAACTACTGAAATTAAAACGAAGGGACTTTGGTCTAATTTCATTACTTCTAACTGTTGGAAGGTAGGCTCTAGATTATGGCGTAAAGGCGACTTAATGGAGGCTTCCACCAATCCCGACAGGAGTTGTTGAGATGTTGGGTCTTGCGCAAGGCCTTGACTGAAGGCAGCCAAGGCGTCGCCATGACGACCAAGGCATTGTAGGGCCACTCCTTGCCTGTAGTACGCCTTCGGCCACGTTGGGCACAGTTCTCTAGCGGTGATGGCATCTTGGAGGGCTTGGGCGAAAAGGCCTTGTTTCAGTTTGGCTGCTGAGCGGTTGGAATAGAGAATGTGGTTGGTAGGGTCGAGTTGGAGGGCGTCGGTATAGAGGGCGACGGCTGTGGCAAAGTCGCCATTTTGGCAGGCAGCGTTTGATTGTCGGACCTTCAAGTAACGAATTGTTGTTTGTAAGAGATTCTGAAGATATAAATGGATAGATATATAGTGGCAAATATTGCCTGAGGGAAATACTTGTAAAAAGTAAAACAAAAATAGATACCAAATTTCTAAAAATATTAAATTATTCCTTCACACGTAAGTTTCGGTTGGAGGAAACAAAGTTAGGAAGAAAGATTCGTTCACCCTCCTGGTCAATATTAAGTGAAAAATAAGAAAACAATTTGAAATACCGATATTTTTCACAAGCATTTCACGGTCAGCCAATATTTTGTAAATTAGAGTAAAATAACAGAACACTGTTACAAAGTTGTTTTTAACTAACCAAAGAACACAAAAATCAAAATAAAGGAATTTTTGTAAAAACCAGTAATTAACTGTGTATTTATGGTGTTCTATTAATGACAAACTGTAAAAACTACGCATTTTTTGAGTTCTTGTTAACAAGCGATTTACCTTTTCAAGAAAAAGAGCTCGATTGGCTGCTGGTAGTTCAGAGGTACCTTCTGGTTCAACCTAGGTAAGAATTAAAACAAATTAAAGGTAAACTAATATTAACGGTCGTGAATATAAATATATCAGCAAATTTTAATTAAAATTACAAGGATAAAATGAATTGAAATCTACCTTGTCTAAAATTATAATTTCGGGAAATTATTACTTTACTTTACAGATTCTTGTTTGTTTCTCCATTTCATTATTTTTCTATTTCCTTCTATTCCGGAAATATTTTGTGCAGTACTTTTTTTTGTCTAATAATAATTTGTATAATTCTTCTATCAACCAAAATTTTTTAAATTCTTATTATCATTATCATGCACAAGAGACGGAACTCTGTGATCAAGAAATCTAAAGTTATTATGTTGCCGATTACTAAGAACGAGCTCCTTAAACATGATCGCCGTTAAAGTTTATTTTAGGAATATCGTCTAAATAATAAAAGGCTAACCAAAATTTGTCTGATCTTCTTCACCAACAGTTTAATAAGGCCATCTTAATACCCATGCAGGGTTAGAGCGTTAGGAAATACCGACCCTTCAGATTGACAGTTAAGAAATTTATAAAAGGGCGCAGGTAGTTTTTAAAAAGGTCTTTGTCACTTTTTGTTCCGTGTAAACCAAATGATCGCATTCGACGTCACAGTCTCCCTCCAACGAGCGTAATTGATTATTAAGAAACATGTGAAACTTTGACTAATTTCACCAACACGTGTAATTTTGGTTTTATTGTATGTTAATTCACCGTTCATATTAAGATTTTAACTGTTATGATTCTACTAGAATGTAACTGCAATGACCCACATGTTCATACAAAATACATGACAGAAAATTCACTTTTTCAGGCTTCACTATCAGTTTAAATTTACGATATTTAAATTACTAGAGGTTTTTACTTACTTAAGTCCACACGTCATAACTTTTCACTCAAGATTTATAATAGTTCATTTATGGCATTTAAACTAATTTTAAACACTGATTCATTTGAGAGAAAGCACTTTGAAAATCGTTATTCGTTAAATTCATATCCTTGTGTCTCGTTAACGTAATTTTTTACGGCTTGAATTTGAACATTTATTCTCGAAGTCACCGCTCTAAAGCGAAGCGTTTCCGAGACCACCTTATTTTGATTTTGATCATATTGAATATGCGGTTTGTTTGTATGTCATATGTGAATTGATTTTGATTTAATATCAATGAATTGAATTAATACATAATTTAACAGCAAATAAACTTTAAATTTGCGATTTCTAGGGCGTAAAGAAATGACTAAAATTTGATAAACGTTCTATAATCACTAATTAAGCGTTGGTCAGTGTTTCATAATAATCTTAATTATAAATGAAAGTCGATTATTATCAGTGCTGTGGTTTTTTTAAACACTAAAATAAATGGTTTTCGTATTTGTTGAGATATTCTATATAAACAATTCAAAAACTGTATTTATAATGTATAAACGTTATAAATCTCCGGCGTCATCATTTTTTTGAAGAGGACAAGTAAATAAATTTTAGACTAATTAACTAAGACTGTAACAAATAGTTGGAGTAAAAATGCTCTGAGAAGAATACACTAAGAAAAGTTCGAAGTAGACATAAAAAGCTCTGGAAGAATCCGCTTGCGAAGTTAGGGGAGGAAACTGTATCATCATTCTCTCTGTGATTATTTCGTGATTTATGAATTTCAATATCTCACTCATCATTCGTACCTTTAAAAAAGCATAATGTCTGTATTCAATATAACTATAAATGTTTTTTTTGCGTTGTTGTTTCCCAATATAACGAAAGTAACTACTACTACAATATATTACTGAATTCATAAACACAAAACCAGATGAACTTTATTTATGATTAAGAAAAAATAGCATTTCAGTATATTTTAATTATATACGTCACTCAAATAAGATATTAAAAAATATGAAATATAATTGAGTCACAGATAAATTATAGTTGAGAATTACTGAACAAAATATGGGAGTGAAACCGTGCATAAGTGCAAGTGGGTTGAACGTGAGCTCTGCAGTTTACCGGAGATTTTAAGGTATTTACTAGCAAATAAATAATGGATTTACACTATTAGAATTGTCATCAGCTTCTCTATACTGTGAGAGCGAAATTCTTCTCCTGGAGCCAGTTATGAATTAACAGCAGCTGTTTCTTGATTTCAATTTACAAAATAGCGGTGGCGTATCACTACATTGTTGTTTTTAATCGCTGATTTGGCTGCAGCCGATCTCTTTGTTAAGTGGTTAGTAGTTTCAAAAATGATTTTTCCGATTTAAAAACATATTTCTTGAATCTAAGCCCCTTCCTTCATTTTCTACCATACTAAAGAATAAAAAAAACTAGTTGTGTTAATAGAACCAAGAAACCATGAACAAAATTTTGCTATGACAAAAACAGACATCGCATTTAACATTAACCATCATAGTAGTACATATTCAATTTGATAAATTAGTTGGTACAAAAAATGGAGGCACGATAGTTGGTTGCACATCTGCCGGACGAAAGCTGCGTTTTAAACAGTTAGCTGAAAAAAAAACTTGTTAAATCCTGTGTAATACGTGAAGTCAAAGGTATATTCCCACGGGGTTTCCCAAGCGTGAATAAAATAAACGGTTCGGGCTTTTCGATCTTAAGACAAGTCAATGCCACTGTCTTTAAAATAAATTCAGAATGCAAAATATTACAATTTTTGCATCGAAGAAAAAAATCGTCTGTTCACGAAGCCCTTCTTCAAGTTGACCATGCGATTTGGGATCATTCTCGGCTCTCGAAGAGATAATGGGTCCTAATCCTTCAAGTCGTACTTGCTTTATTTTAACTTAATTCTTTTGATTCCATCCGGAACATAAGGTTTCACCGTCCCTTTTCACTTTTCTCGGTCTTTGGCTATGGACCAGCAGTTTTTTTATTCTCTGTTTTCCATGTTTCCTATGGTATTCCTTGTTTTCTTTTGACATAGTCGTTTTAGATACAAGATGCTTTTCACTTTGACATCACTTAAATTCTTTGTTGTTAAAAACTCTTGATGTGTGGTGTAATTAAATGTTGCTTTCTTCCTTCCTGATAATTCTAATACTCATCCAAATATCATTCTAAATTCTCGAAATATAGGATTTAAATTTTAACTTAAATAAAAGCACAAGATTTCATGGCGACAGAGTAACACACGGTTTCTCGTCAAAACTGACGTTTTTTTTTTGTCATTTGCCCAAATGAATTTTTCAATTGTAAACTTCATGAGGATACAGTTTGGTTACATAGTTGGCTATTTCGCGAAGACTGGGTAGAACCTAGGTATAATATGTGGCAGGTTTTTTGAGCATAGATATACGGCATATGTTTTCTTTACGTCCTCAGTTGATTAGTTTCTCGACTATTCATACTTGCCATCCATTTACTTTTTACTTTTTGCTTGTTTTGTATGTATAATGTTACGAAATAAGCCCATACGTCGCCCCGGTACGACGCCTATGCGTCTTCTAGCATTTACGCGTTGCTTCTCGTATGTAGTCTGACTCATCGGCCACGCGAATGCAAGCGGTAGTCGCGACGAGCCGAGAAGAAGTCTCGATTGCGGCGTCCAGAAAACTCCGATGCGGCGTTCTGGATCCATCGAGAGGCACGCGGGGATTTAAATAGAGGCGACCATCGTGGACGAATTCATTCAGCAAGGAAGTCAGCCAAGAGCGTCCAGTGGAAGTCGCCGGAATAATTTCTGTACATAATCGTTGCAATAGTTCGTCGTGTAAATACCAGTTATTAAGAAATAAATCGTTGAGTTTTTACCTACGCCCGATTAATTATTCGCCCGTCAAACGTAACAATAATTTGTATTTCCAATATGTATGAATAAGTTTGTAATGTTTGAATTTGAAAAGAGAAGAATTTTTGAAGCTGGAAAATAAATTCGTTGATTCCCTCGTCTGGAAGGGAATAAACCATGTTACCCCCCCCTCCAATTTTTTCTTTAATTTCTTATGCTCTTCGTCACATAATGTGCGAATTTGTGTGAACGAACGCGTCCCTTTTTCAAATCACAACGTATAGTAGCTGACGATCACAGTTCAAGCCAAATTTTAAATTTTTTGGCGGGTTTTACAATTGTGTTCATATGTCAAATTTTGGCGGGATGATTAAGTTATTGCACCTTTGGCCATGATTTTTACCGTGTAATTATCGTAAAAGGATGGGATCATTCTGATGTATTTCAGGGGAATTTCATGTATTCTCAGAATCTCCCACATTCTTTTCCGATATACAATGTGCAAGACCTATGTCAAGTAGACAAAATTTATAAACTATGAAACGTCTGAAAAGAATAATTCCGATACTATAAATAATAGGAGTATGTATTTTAGAAAATAAAAAACAGTAAAATCAGTACACAATACCGGGTGTCTGGAAAATGGCGGATTAACTCTCCACCACGCTCTTAACAATCAACAGGTGAGTCTGGGAAAAATAGTAAAAAAATCCTTCTCACATTTTGGTGGAGTTATAACGATTTTAAAATTGGTTCTTTTGCTAAGTTCAACAACTAAACAACACATTCATTACCATTATTACTATACCTAATAATAAAACTTTTAGTTAATATTTCTCTCGCCCATGATCATGTTTAGTTACTATTTTCAGTTAGAATGTACAAAGATATAATTGTGTTGTTTTTGTAGTAATTTGCTAAAATCCCATTTGACAATGTTTGCCTGATATAAAACGTCATTTGCCAAAATCGTGTTTGTTTAGAAAGTACTAGCCCCGCCCACACGCCCTCTCTTTCCTTAAAGGGTATCTCATTTGCCAAAATCAGTATTATCTTAGCAGCTCCTAGCTTCGCCCACCCTCCCACCCTCTCTTTTTTTAGAAGGTATGTCATTTGCCAAAATCAGTTTCATCTTAGCAGATACTAGCCCCGCCCACCCACCCTCTCCTTTCTTAGGGAGTATGTCTTCTGCCAAAATCAGTTTTATCTTAGTAAGTGCAAAGTACTGATAACTAATTTTTACAAAAAATGACCCAAATTTGGAAACATTACGAGCTTACTTACATGCACAAGGCAGATATTTTGAACATCTTCTCTAGTGTTTAGTTGGTTATGCTTTAATGGATTCTTCTTCTGTTGGTTTTGTTTTTGTTTATAATTGATATATATGTGTTATTATGTTTTTTTTTTTGGTTTATTTATAAATGAAAAATAACAGCAATATTAATAATAATGCACAACGATTAAAGACTACTGGTTGTTATGGTTGTCGTCCTAAAAAAAATAAAAGGTGGATTTCAGTCACCATCGTTACTAAGAAATCTGAAAGTAAGCTGGAGGTATTCAAGCATTAGGTGCGTGCAGTGTTATCAATTTTACTTTTATAAAATTTTTTTTTTCGTGATCTACATCATAAAGAATTTTTTTATAATTTTTTTGGAACTTCCGAAACCTCCGAACATAACGTACTGAAGAGTTAATCCGCAATTTCCCAAACACACGCCATAATCGAATTACGAGAGATACTAAACTAAATAACTTAAAAATAAAACAGAAACAAAAGAGTTTGGTTTTGTTTATCACAAAAGAGTTATTCTACGAGAAAAAATAAAAATATTTGTTAAGATAAGACTCATTGATATGAAGGGTGGTGGGTGGGCGGGACTATTGCTTGCTTATAAAAGACTATAGGAAAAAGTTAAACTTGGTCCTGCCCCCACCTGTTCTATCATTTTTTTCTTCTGAAATAGGAAATAAATCTTGTAGCAAATAGTCTAACAAAAAATTACGACGCACTTTCTTCCTTCTTTTAACAGCCTAGGTTTTAGTACTCCTCATTCCACTCTTCAAAAAATATATAATTTACCCCGCCCACCCACCCCACTTTCATTTCAGTGATTTATTTTATCTGGTCAGAATGAAAGGTGGATTTTATACTAAATAGAAATAAAATCGTTAGAATGAGAACAGCGCGGGTGAGCTAGATGCTAAGGTAGAACTGATTTTGCTAAATGACATACTCTCTAATAAGAAAATAAAGGGTGGATGGGCGGGGCTAAAACTTGCTCAGATAAGAAGCAACAATATTAATTAAGAGTGGTCATTGCAATGAAGAGGGGGTGGGTGGGCGGGGCTACTGATTTCAATTTCAGGAGTTTTCAATTTTTCGATTCTTTAATTTTCTATTTCTTCAAATTTTCGGTTTGCAATTTTTTGTTTAGGTTTTTTATTTCCTTTATTTTTTCAAATTATTTATTTTTTATATTTATTCTCGCAGGAAACTTTGATACAATACCGTTTGGGTATTAATCCTTTTCGGTGTTAATTAATAATGAATGAATTGGAACCTATAATAATTAATAATCCTTTTTTATTCTTACTAGGTAATGAATAATTTATTATTTTATGTAAATGACAAAATTTATTAAATTCCTATTCCTATAGTTTTGAAACAGTTTAAGTTTTTTGAACAATACACTATAGAAATCAAATATTTTTTGATTTTACATATATGTATCAACATTAACTGTTTTTTTTTTTTTAATCCTGAATAGTTATTACACCCAAGTATTATTTTCTTAATTTGAATTTGTTAAGAGGAAAGGAATAACTCTTCCAATGAAAACCTAATACTCGCAGTTGAACTGCATTAAAAAAGTTTTCCGGGATGGTTAATTATTTATTCCAATTTCGAATACAGGAGGTGCAAATTTCGGAGGATTCCACGGTCGGAATCAATACATGATCGTTTTCCGGGTTGGAATCCTGTTAATTGAGAAAGAAAAAAGAGTTTCCCCTCTGGTTGAGCCCAAAAACTCAATTAACACGGTTCCAAGCCGGAAAACGATCATGTATACAGGATGTGCTGTCTGACAATGTGTTTTATGTAAATCATCGAATGTATCCATAAATGTTGAGGGGTGTAAAATCCCATGGATCTGAATGTTTGTTATTTTGCAAATATTTCCGAAATTTCGTATATCTGTTCTGTGTTCTCCAAACAAAACTTATTTATGAAAACCCTTACATCTAACTTTTGTAGTTGTTTGAGATAATTCCAGTTTTCACTGGCCTTAAAGATAACATTAATTAATCAAAAACAATCAGTAACATATTAACTTACATACTCATTGGTCAATCTCTTGATTTCCATTTCATAAATAATACACACGTACATTTTGAAAAATATTCAGTGCTACTTTGTTAAAATTCCTGTCAATATTGACAGATTTTTTAGCGAACTAAATTAACAGTGTATACTTGACAGCTATGGCAATATTAATCCGATGGCGTCAATTGTATTGGACGAATCTGTAACCGAGTCATCCTTGGAATTGAATCCATTGTGTCTTTAATTGCCGATGAATTTGTAAATCTAATTTTTGAAAGAGTCACACCCAAAAAGGCAAAAACTAAGATCCTTACAACCCCGTCTCTACAAAGAAAGTGGTTTGATCACCGACATGCTAAATCCGTTCCAAAGATGACCCGACTACAAATTATGTTTCTCCCCGAAATTTAGCATGCGTTTATTGCTAGAACATGTGGCTACAAAATTACTTTATCTTAGTTAAATTTTGAAAAAAATATGCGAAATACTAACTACTATGCCCTCATCAACTTTTTGGAAGGATGTTTAGACAACTTTTAGTTAGCGTTTTACCCTCTATACAATAAGATCCTTTCAAATGAAGTGAAAATGGTGTAGGTATGGGGCGAATTTTCCAAAAATGTAATTAAGTTTTCGTAATATATTTAAAAACATATAGTTATTTATTACATCATTTCAGTTTATGGAAGATATGAAATTAAAACGGAATGAAATGAGTGGTTTGAAATTATATTTGTATATTAAATTAACAAATAGGTCTGTAATTAATCTAAAAAATCCACCTACACCTAGCGTTTAATTAGAGCGAATTAATGCGTATTTTACGCTCTATTGCTGCACTAATTACAGTCTGCGCATACTTAAGTCATTGTACTAAGTGAGAATTTGAAAACATGGTGAAGTCTAGTGACAAAATATTGACACTGGATCTATCGTTTTTAACAAAAAGTTCACACGGATGTTTAATATTAAATGTGACGATGATACCAACTGGTGAGACACCATAGCGTATGTCAATATTTAGTATTGGAAGTAGTTCTTAGTTGTTTTCATTTAGTTAAGTGCATTAAAAAAAGGTGATAATTACGGACACTAGTTTACTTTGAATAAAGGCTTTTTGTTTTTTAAGTGTTATTGATGTGATTCTTTTTATTGTATTTTATGGTGTCGTAATAAATCTGGACACATTAAAGTGTACACTAGTTATTTACTTAGAAATTAGACGTTATTCATAATTGTGTTCTTTCATTCAAGTATTTTTGATTATAACAGTCAAAAATCTAATTAAAAACGACAAAATCAAAACAGAACGAAGCGACTATATATTCGTTGGAGGATTATCATTTAGTTTGCTAAACAGGTTCGATTTCGACATAATTAAGCAATTAAAAAAAGCGAATCTAGTGCGAACTCGTCCTTAGTTTATTTATCTGCAACATATTTGACGACCTGTCGCTATAATTTGTCAAACGCCAAATCTGATAAAACTAGACCGTTTTCTTTATGTTTAACTATCCTACTTTGCAATTAAAATGAGAAATAAAAATCAATTTTATCAAGTTTTCTTGCTGACTTTCAGAGAGTTCAATGCCGGGGTCATGTCCTAACTTGGCGTTGAAATCACCGTAAATATTTAATTTCCTCCGTTTTCCCTGCCAACAATATTATTTTAATATCAAGCCTGGGAAAGCCAACCTTTAGCTCTATAATATGAAGACACATTAGCTTTTGTTTAGGACTGGTGACGACTTTTGGCACATACCTAACCTCATTTTACTTTTTTAAGTGGGAACCAACTTTTACATAAAAAATACGTACCTCCGTAAAATCCCTGTGCGACATGGTTACCAAAATGACTTTTTTCGCACATCCTCACTCGAACGTAAAAAAATCACTTTTAATTTTTAAATCACTACCATAGTGGCGAAAGCTTAATCACTACATGGTGTTAACTCTAATTAAATCAATGCCTGTCAACAAGGACGCACTTCGATAAACATGTATTTTAAAGATAATTTATCAAATCGTCGGAAACAAGTGCACACTGTATCTAACAGTTATTTACCCGCATTCTTCGAAACGCCATATTGGAATGCAGGTACGAATCGGTCGGAGCGCTATTCCACCAAGCGCGAAAACGATCGTTTAGTTCTTTCAGCAGGACAAGTTGCTCTCTCTGTCTTACTGTTGACGGTTCTTTCGAGTTTTTGTTGCTAGGTTTTAAAATGAAGTTACTACTTTGTTATTGGCGCCGATTAGGGCGTACAGGATTAAGTAACTTGTGGAAAAAAATATAGCAGAGGATGAGAGTTTGACAGTTTACCATTGTCTTTGGTGGAAATGTTGAGCTGTTGGTCCAGGTTGCAAGTTTGACCTTCAGTGAAAAGGAAATAGAGGATAAAAGAAAAAGTGTAATGTCATAAGTAGAAAGAACCCTGGAAGTATGTAATATCTAAGCATCGTACTTATATTTTCATACACGTTTAGCGTTTTATTTTAAGACTTGTTGCTTGTGATGTAGCAGGAAATCAATGACGGGAAAAGTTGACAATATCTACTTTCTCAGATTAAATTTAAAATGCAAATATAATGAAAATAACAAATAATTACTTGCACTGCTGATTTAACAAGTTCCACTGAAAATTATATTTTAATATTAATTAGACAAAACTTGCAAAATATGTACATATTTATATAAGTTTCTGAGGAAATGTATGCGGATGCTGTGTGAAAAATTATTAAATTACTGTAAGTAGTAATTACTGGTGTAGATGCCAAGCAGAATTTTTTTCAAACTCAATAAATGGATAGATTCAAAATTAGTCTTACGGCGTCTTTTATTTGGGCTATTACCATGAACATAAAATTAGAAAGAGTGCTGAAATATTATTTTATGCAAAAGAATAGGAATAATTGTTACTGTATAATTAAGTTAGGTATTTATTATTTTTTTTTACCTCTTGGGTATGTTATCAAACAATATTAAAATCTAATTTCGTTTAGAATTTATAGTTTATAATACCAGTTTTCCCCCCTAAAATATTGCAATATGGTCATTTTGACAAATGTCTAATTTTTTGTTCTCATAACATGTCACAACTTAGCTCACCTTAAGCACAATTTTATCAATTTCAATTTTGAAAAGCTTCTTTCACATGAAACCACCCAAATAAATGGTTAAAAAAATCTTAGACACAGCGCTAGACTCGGAACAGACTCAGACTAGCCCCATTTTACGATGAATCAGAAAAGCTCCAATGTAGTCCAAAATTATCTCTTCTGCAGAAAATTCATTATAGATTTTTGTAAGATTTGGAACTATTCCATAAACATCTTTGCTTACTGTTGACGTGGAAGTTCCCGCTGAAGTTGCCTTTAGAGCTGAAAATTGGCATTTATAAACTCCGTTGTCAAGTTGCCGTTGATAGTAACTTTGATGTTCAACTTTTGCCGTATTTAATGGGGTTGTAGAAGAAAAGTGGAGGATTTAATTTACCATTTTAGACATGTTTTAAGTTTCTTGTTGTCAAAATAAGTCTACACATACTAAGAAAAAAGGCAAAATGTAGTCCCGCCCACCCGCCCTATCTTAATTGTGATCATTTTTTTTTTATTCGTCGTGAGCCAAGGGGACGGAGCTTAACTGCAAAATCCTTATTTTTATACGAAAAATTAAAAACATGTTTTTGAGTATCGTCTTGTTCAAAGAATACTATGTATATTAAAAAAAAATTAGGTTCCACCCATACCTGCCCCGATCTCAATTCTCAATTGTGATGAATTTTTCATTCGTTGTCAGATCGAGGGGCGGGGCTTAATTGCAAGATCCATATTTATCTACAAGAATTTACCATTTTAAACATGTTTTAAGTTTCTTGTTCTGAAAAGATGACTACGAATATTAAGAAAAGATACAAAACATAAGCCCCGCCTACCCGACCTATCTCAATTGAGATGATTTTTTTTTAATCGTCGAGAGCCAAAGGAGCGGAATTTAAATGCAAAATTCTTATTATTTTTCTACAAGAAATTACCATAAGATATTTTTTGAGTATCGTGTTATTCAAAGAATACTATGTATATTAAGAAAAAATTAAAGCCAAAGCTTAAGCTCCACCCATACCTGCCCTGATCTAAATAGTAATGAAGTTTTCATTCGTTGGCAGACCTATGGGCGTGTTTTAAGTTTCTAAGAATAAAAAAATCATCACAATTGAGATGGGGTGGGTGGGTGGGGTTTATATTTTGCTTTTTTTTCTTAATATACATAGTATTCTTTGAACAACACAATACTCAAAAAATATGATAGGCGGAGCCTAATTACAAAATCCAAATTTTCTTACAAAAATTTACTATTTTAAACGTGTTTTAAGTTTCTATGAATAAAAAAAATCATTTATATTTTGCCTTTTTTTCTTAATTTACATTGTATTCTCTAAACAACACGATACTTAAAAATATATTTTTAATTTCTTGTAAAGAAATAAGTATTTTGCAGTTAAGCTTAGTCCCCTGGGTTCGCGGCGAAAAAAAAAATCATCAGAATTGAGATAGAGCGGGTGGGCGTGTGGGCGGGCTTACATTTTCCCTTTTGGTTTTAATGTGTGTAGACTTCTTTTCACAACATGAAACTTTAAAAATGTTTAAAATAGAAAATTTGTATAAGGAAATAACGATTTTGCAATAGCCATATTTTCTTGCAAAAACCATTTTAACCATGTTTTAAAGTTTTTTGTTATGAAAAGATGGCTATGTATATTAAGAAAAAAAAAAGGCAAAATACAAACCCCACCCACCTCCCCTATCTCAATTCTAATAATTTTTTTATTCGTCGTAAGCCGAGGTGTAAAATCCTTATTTTTCTACAACAAATTACCATGTGAGATATGTTCTTAAGTAATCATGTTATACAAAGAAAATTATAAATGTATTAATTAAAAAAGAAAACCGAAAGAGAAGTCTCAACTCATCTCAACAAGTGAATTTTTCATTTGTTGTCAGACCGAGGGGCGGAGCGTAATTGCAAAATCCATATTTCCCTATATAAATTGACCATTTTAAACATGTTCTAAGTTTCTTATTGTGAAAAGATGACTACACATATTAGGAAAAAAAGCAAAATGTAAGCTTATGACTGCTTCGTTGTCCTGTCATTTCGTATTTTGACTTCAAGATACAATAATAATTACAGTTATGTGTTTTGTTTCATATTAATTTTAAATTTATTTTGCACTCTTATATCTGTGTATTTTTTTCCTATAATCCTCACGTTGGCATCATATTTTTAGTTTTGGTTTTCTAAGTTCTTCATTCCATATTTCCAAGATTTGTTGGGTTTTTTTAATTTGTTTAATTTTCTGTACATATCATCAGGCCATCTACAAAAGCACGTTCCATTACGTATTTTGCTTCTGTGCTCTATCCTACATAGACTTTTTAACTTTTATTTTCACCATCTTCGTCATTATTCTTAATTTACACATTTGGAAAATCGTAATTATATTAAATAATGCTGGGCTCAACATTGTGTATTATGATGTGAGAGTTGTGTATTCGTTATTTATTCATTATTATTAACCGACGTGAATCTGAAAATTAAAGTTGCGGCCAGTCGGAGTGAATATACGCAGACCCTACTAATGTACGATATTTGCATATTTGTAGTTTATGAACCCGCCTTGATTTTAATCACCAATTACTTCACAAAAATGGTTGTGCGTAAGACACAAGCACGAGTTCAAACGCTATCCTGGTTGACATTGTTTTCTAAGACACTAAATTTGTTTGAATGTTTGACTTCAGGTGTGAAGAAACTTTTGTTTAAATCATTTTGGACCAATTTTTACTTCCTGGGCGTAAACTACAGTACCTACGAAAAAAGTGGCCTCCCGTTTCCGTCTGTCTGCCTGTTTTTATTAAATAGATAATCCGAAACTACTGGAGCAATTATTATTGTCAAATTTTGTGTCTATATTAGGAATATCATGTAAATAGGAAAACGCTAACCCAAATTTGGCCGAGGATCCCCACCACCTATACGATAACGTCATCTATAAAATTTAAAATAGTATTTTGTTTTTTACAATTAGTTGTTTATTGTTACGTTATTATTATTAAGAAAAAAGGCAGATTGATAAATATAATTATTGATATGTTATTAAATTCGTTAATTACGCTGTCAGTCTCGTCGTGCACAGTATATATATATATAAAGTGCATCTTTCTTAAAAGTGGCCATAGGGATTCCCATGTTAAATTTTATACCCCATGTTAACTTATGTTTAAGCAGAGGTGGTTGGTGTTAGGGGGTACAAGGGCACGTGCCTCCCCCTCCCCCCAAAATTACAACGTCTATAAACACACTGGAAATAACAAAATAGTAATTTTCAATATTTAAAAAAATATCCGGAAATTTGTGTCATAATTATCAAAACTAATTTTTTTATCTCGATCCACTTGTTTAAAATGTATCAAAACTTACATCCACTTACATCTAAAGATGTCTCTTGGATATATGATATGTTATTTCTGATGAAATTTTGATAAAAGCCGGGAACAGAGAGCGAATCATGGCTGATTAAGACATTTTGTTTACTGCCATGGAAACCTCACGTCCTAGCCGCCTGATTCACCTGGACTACGGTCACGTTCCGACAGAGCTCGGCAGGATTGAGTTACTATCGCGGGTTTTAATTTTCATTATGCGCGAACACGTATGATAAATATTCTTGGATAATCTTCTCGGTAATACAAACATTCGGAAACAACTACACACCGCTTATATTAATAATATTCGGGCACATACCGTAAGGGTCGGCAAAAATCGCCATAATATTACGCCGATTGATAATGTGCATAAAATTTTGTGGAGTGTTCGAATTTGCTTTACGTGGACATGACGAGGTCTGATTGATTTTATGGCTGAATTGGACTTTATCAGATCATTTGAAAGAAGCAACGGTTTTTAAATGAACACCTAAAACTGTCCAAAATGAACTTTTAGATGCCATCAACGTAAAATTTTGACCGAAGGCAAAAAGATATGTGGAAAAATCCTTTTTTATTTTTATTGAATGTATTTTTATTTTTATATTTATTTCCGTCACACAATTTCGTCTATTAATTGGTAATGACAACCTGTTTTATATCTTCATATTTAACTCATCAATCAAATTGTATCCCCCCATTTCAAAAGGTCACGAGCCGCCACTGTGTTTAAGTAAAGATTCAGAGTTGAAATTTTTACTGGATGCAATTTAGGTCATCTTTTATCGATTTTATTAAGGGTTATGATTTAAATTAAAGGATATTTCTTCAAAACAATTAAAATATATGTATATTTTTGTCGGTAATATTGTTATTAGGCAGCAATGCAAAAACAAACATTTACCTGGCGTTTCTAAAATGCGATTACTCGTTCGATTACTAGTTTTTAGTGACCGAAATTCATCATGCCGCAGTACACAATTAAGGAAAAAGTGGAAATGGTCATTGATTGATTAAATTCTTGTGGACAATAGAGAAATTGCGCAAAGTTTTGTACCACATTGCTCCATACCGACAAGAGCACGATTTAAGGTTTAATGATTAAATTAAAATTATGCCGTGAAAACTTACGAGTTAAAATGATAAGTCATGATAAGTCAAAACCGTCATGATGTATCAAAATTTTTTAATCAAAATGAACAATTTAATGCAAAAAGTGGTAGTGAAAGTTAAAGTAGAACCCTAAGGGCCGGTTGCATAAACGCAAATCAAATTTAATCTCTGATTAACTCCATAGTAACGATTGTTATTATCATAGTTACAATTGTTCTTAATCAGAGATTAAATTTGATTTGCGTTTATGCAACCGGCCCTAAGGCTATTTTCACCTCAAAAATCATCTCTGGGTTTTTACCCTAACAAAAGTTAACAAGGGGTGTCAAATTTAACATGGAAATCCCTATGGCCAGTTTTAGAAAAGATGCACTGCATAACTGACGTATACGTATATCTGTTAGTTATAGATATATGCATACTGTGGTTTTGCTAAGCTACATTTATGTTCAAATCGGTAATAATCTTTAATTTCCCGGTGTCGGCATCTAAACCACTCGATTTCTATTTTGATTTGAATAGGCAACCAACAATTTACGTCATTGAAAGGTCGCGTTATCTGTCGCTACTTAGAACATAACCTTACAGAATGCTCAAACTATTTTAATTAAAGTGTAAATATGTGGCCTTTTTTAATAAGAACTCTAAGACATTACGCACCTGTCATTACATTGCCCTTTGCGGCGCTGATAGGTATCATAGGTTATAATTTAGAAAACATTTTATCAGATAAGTACACACCGTATAATGGTATGTTACAGTCTTAAAACCTGACTTAATATAGTTTCTAAAAGTGTCTTTTTTAGAGTCAATTAAAGAGTCACGAAGTGATAGGTTAATCACTAGTGAGAGCCTGGATTCAGCCGCAAATGTGGAAAAGCTTCGCTACAAAGCTAATGTGTTGGGTACCAATGTGTCACCTTCATTAGAAAAATAAATTTAACAGCTATGTGCCTGTGATGCTGTAATTTTGATTAGTTGTAATAAATTTGTTACTTAAATAAATGTATAGATATTTATATCTAATCAAATTTTAGGCACGTAAGGTATTGTAAACCAAGCTTTAAAAGTGGCAACAATGTGTGGGAGAATTATTCGTTAAAAAAACGAATAGTTATAACAAGTTTACAAGTTAAATTTTCTTAAATTAATTGAAAGCACAAGATAGCATTTTCCACAGGCCAAATTTTTTTATTAGGGAAAAATTGTGCATTTCTTATTTTCTTTTGACAGAATTTTCATAAATATGTGATGTACTGAATATTAAAAACTCGGTAACAGATAATAATGTATTATAAATTTAAAGCTGCTTTTTATTACCTTATTGCAGTAGAAATCAATGATGTGAACAACATTACCTTAGTCAGAGAAACTCCAATACATTGTGTGTTCTGATGATTTCTGCTTTGCTTAATATACATAAGTAGCTACTACGTTTTTCAGAATGTTTGTATCAAAGAAGCTGCTCTTACTGTATCTAATTTCATTTTGAAAAAGAAAAAACATCCGGATACTCATTCTACACTAAGACAATGTATCGGAAGTATGCAACCAATGTTACATCAAAAAGTTTAAAAATAGTACTGTTGTTGCTATTACCAGTGATGAACAACATTAATAACATACTATTATAACATACTATTATTTATTACTGGCAATGGCAATGTTCACAGACAAAATAAAATGTACAAACATGTTAGAAACTGCCCAAAAAAAACTTGAGCTGGTATCAGATAACGTTGTAAAAATGTTAGAGCTTCTGAAACATGGGAAAACGCGCTAAAAACAACAGAAACAAAACACTATTCTAAAGTTCTAAAGTAATAATAACTAACATATTGAGATGGCAAGCAGAGACGTTTGTCATGTGCATGTGGGGACAAGATATCTTGTAAACGAACTTTACCACACAAAAAATTGCCATACTGTCTAAATATTTAGTGAAATAATAATAAACTATGAACAGTGTTGGGAACAGATACTTTTAAAAATATCTAGATACAGATATAGATATATGGAAGATGAAAGTATCTAGATACAGATTGTTTTCGATTTTTTCGAAATGTATCTAGATACAGATACAAGAAAACAGATACTTTTTGAAGCTTTGGCGAATAAAATAACTGAAAACATGTTTATATATTTTTTATGTATTGTTTAATGAATTTTTTAAAATTAACAACATTTCGAACGTATTGGCACCTAAATTATTTCTTCTTGGTGTCAGAATTTGGTTTCCGCTACTAAACACCCGTTCCACAGGTGCAGAAGAAGGGATTGTGGTATTAAATTTAAAGAATAAACATTTTATTGTAGCACAGTTATTCAAGACTGAAAAATCTTTTTTTTTTCCTGTAAGTAAGCCATCGCTTCGCTCTTTGATGTGTCACAAATTGTGCAATATTTATTACGTACGCTTAAAAAGATTTTTTTTTTGTTTTTATTCCCATACTACAGTGTCCAAATTGTGTTTGAGTATATCTAATAATTATCTCCAGCATTAAAATTAATATTTCAAATGAATACTGGAAATTATTATTCTGTGCCGAAGGTCTGTTGTTGGCAACCTGTTATAAATTATTATTCTTCAATATCAGCTTACGATGTTTTTATGACCATGTCCGGTAATCGTCTATCCCGGTGCGGCAGGTATATACATTTTAGGAAGAATTGCTGGTTCCGTTTAAGGCAAAATAAGTACAATTTCTTAGAAAGGTATTTAAACCCCTTATAGGATCAAAGGCTGCCTGGCAGGCCGGAATCACCAGAGTGCAACTTTAAATTTTCAGATTTTTGTTGAAACTCATTTTATTTTAATCTCGTTTCACGATTTCTCAGAATATATCACGATAAATTATTTTACCGAGGGTTGTAAAAATATTAATTTTATTGCCCAAGATTTACACTTAACATAATCGGCACATTCTAGGGCAAAACGGACCTGCCAAGCCCGCTTCGCGTTAGGTCCAACGATGAAAAAGTGAAGAAATGACACATGTGGCAACAGGAAAAGATGATACATTTGTCTGAAAAATAACGGTATAAAACTGTAACAAATATGCGATTTATGCGAGAGAACTGTATGTATTGAGCATTCGATTAGTCGATTACAGAACTAATTTGTGCTAATTGAAAAAATTAATCATTATGTAACACGCAATTATTATTTTCTAAAAATAATAACATACCTTAAACAAATATTTTTACTATTAAAATTACTCTTATTTAATAACACAAATACAACCAGCGGGCCTACCGGACCCGGGTCGCTCAGGTACACAGACAAAATGCATTGCCCCGATAATCATAAAACGCAGTGAATAGTGAATTGTGGTTTATGGTTTTTAAAATACCATCTTACCATGGCTCAGATTTATTACCCCTCAGGATTATATTTAAAGATGTATAAGTACTGAAGGCTATAATGTAGGAAATTATGGTATTTAAAATATGAAAATTTCCGTGACAGAACACTATTAGTGGACCTCTTACCTCTATTTTTGTTTATGTGACCAAAATCACCAACATGAAGTTTCAAAAATTAGTACTAGTATAATTCAACTAATAACTACTGAAAAAAAAGTGAAATAAAAAAATATATCTGTATCTGCGCCATTAATTTTGTATCTAGATACAGATATTGTGTGCTTAAATTCGATTTTATCTAGATACAGATACTAGATACCCAAAAATATATCTAGATACTTTATTTAGATACAAGTATCTAGATACTGCCCAACACTGGCTAACACAAGAAAAAGGGTGAGCAAAGAACAGGAGGACATAAGTATTGAGAAGGAGTAAAAAGCTAGAAGAAGAACCCCGACAAAAACAGATGAAAGAAATACATTGACAGAAATGATGAAGGAAGCATTATGTAAGAGAAATAAAACAAGACTAGAAAAAGTATCAAGAGAAAAAAAATCGAATAAAAATAAGCAATTAAAAGAAGAGAATAAAGGCATGAGAACTTAGGAAAAGATAGAGTAAGATACTGTGGAGTAAGAGCATTCTTAACTGGACTGGAAATACAAACAAACAACAAAGAAAAATTAAGAAGTGCAGCATAAACCTTGATGATACACTAATAGAAGTACAATTGTCGAGATTAAAGATGCGATAAAAATAGAACCGACAATATACAAGGTTGAACTACAAAATATGCAGAAGAAATGCAAGATAATGCTAAAAAAAAACATACACAAATTTACGAGGGAAGTAACTCGTAAAAATGAAAAATCAATACATAATAATTATTTTCTAATAAAAAAAAGAACGTGGACAATGATAAAATATATGAAAGTCATAAGAGAAACGGAAATAAAAAAGATATAGAATGAAACAGAAAATAAATAGTTACAAACTTAAAGAAATAAAATTTGACAAAATACCAAGAGATGCTAAATTCAAAATCAAAGAAATCAAGAGGACTTGAAATAAAAGAAAAGTGGAACCAACTGAAAAATAGCATACTGAATGCAGCAAAAATTACAAACAAAAAGATAAAAAGAACAAAATGGTGGCCCATAGGAATAAAACAAATAATAATTATTATATATATATTTTTTTTTTAATATAAAAAAAAAAGATTATGAGGCATACTTAGAAAATGCAAAAAGTCGAGAAAATAATAAAGGAAACGAGTATAAATAAGACTGTTAACTCAACAAAGTATTGTATTTAACAAATTATTCTTTCTTATACTTCCGTATAGCTACTTCCACTGTGATAAATGCTAGTTGAAGACCTCCTAATGTGATACATGCGTTTAATATAAATAATAGTGATATTTTAAAAGCTGTGAGTAAATTTAAGTGGAGTAATGTATCAGGTCCTGACAATCTACCTGCCTTTTTGACTGTGGATTGCATTAGTTGTTTATCATCATTTTTGTGTTATATTTTAAATCTTATTCTTAATATTAGATTGGTCTGATGTTCTGGAAAGCAATAATCCGTGTATTGCTTGGGGTATAGTCCATTCATTGTTAACTAATGCAGTTAAAAGTAAGACATTTATGGTCCACCAAAAAATCAACACTCGAAACCTTGGATAACTTCCAAATTAATCCAACGTACAAAACAGAAACAAAAATTGTGGAAAAGATTCAAAAGATCTGGGACGTCTCTAATATTGAAGCAACAAAACCAAAGTATGAGAACAAATTAATAGAGTTACTCGTAGGTCAAAAAGCTGTTTATAGGTATGTTCGTCAAAAGCTATCGTCTGCAATATCAATCCCAGTAGTCAAAAAAGATGATGGTTTGCTTTGTGAAAGCCACTTATTCCGAATACCCAGCATGGGTTTTTACCAGACAGATCAGTGATTACATGCCTTTTGTACTGTTTGAATAGATGGACATCACATGTCGATGCTTCTGATCCTGTAGTTGTTGTATATCTGGATTTCGAGAAGGCATTTGATTGAGTTCCTCACAGACGTCTTTTGGACAAACTTGATCAAAATTGACTTGAGGAAAATTACTGAATTGGATTGGCGCTTTCTTGTCAAATAGAACCTTTTCTGTGAAAGTCGGAAATTATTGGTCTACAGAGTGTCATGTTCTCTCAGGAGTTCCGCAAGGATCCGTTCTTGAACCTCTGTTAGTCACTTTATATGTATCAGATCTCAGTTTCATAATCCAGTCCAAGTATGTTTTCTATGCCGACGATTGGGAAATATTCGCTAGATCATTTGGGAATCACAGTAACATCCAGAACGATCTGGGGATTATAATAATAATAATAATTTTATTATCCAACAGACGAAGGTCCAAAAGGATAAATATAAACTCACAAATTAATTACTAACACTAAATACAGTTAAAAAAAACATAACTATGACTTAATCACACCTATACAAGCAACACGAAAAGACTTAATACTAAGTAGAAGTAACAAAAATATCTACAATTGGTGCTACATCATTATAGCAGCGACACATGTTGTTCAATGTCGAAAAATAATGTTGGTTGGTCCTACTACAATTTATCATGAAAGTGCCTGAATACCGACAATTTAATCGTGGAACATGAAAATTTATTTGACTAAGTAAGTTTTTTCTAACAGTGTACCCATGTATTAATTTAAATAAAAAGTAAATGTTGGCGAACGTCCTTCGACAGCAAATTAAAATCATTTAATAACATTTTGTTAGGGAATGATCGTGGAGGATAAGTACGATGCTTTACATAATATAAGTATTTGCAGAATCTACGTTGTATGCGTTCGATTGCCATAATATGGATGCTATAGTACGGGTCCCACACTACAGAAGCATATTCTAATTTTGATCTGACATATGCGAAATATAACGTTAGCAAAGCATCTACATTTGTAAAACTACTTGTGTTTCTAAAAATAAATCCTAACATTTTTATAGCGTGTCCACAAATATATTGAATGTGAGGAACAAATGACAAGTGATGATCCAGTATAACACCCAGGTCTTTTATTTGGCTAACTCGCTCCATTTGAATATCATTCAATGTATAATTAAAATTAATATTGCTCATTAATCTAGAAAATGTTATTGTTTTGCATTTATTCTCATTTATCTTAGTTTGTTTAGCGTGCACAATTTACTAAAGTTGTTTAAATCACTCTGTAATAAACGACAATCCTCTATGCTAGACACGTATTTTGCGATTTTTAAATCATCGGCATAAACAAAAATTGGACATTTAAATTGTGCTAATATATCATTAAAATATATTAAAAATAACATGGGTCTTAGGTTAGACCCCTGTGTTACACCACTAGGAGTATCATATGCATCCGAACAGTAGCCACAAAACTCCACATGCTGGATACGATTAGTTAATAGCGATTTAAAAAGTTTAACTAGATTATCACATACATCAGCAGAACTTAATTTGTTTAACAAAATAAAATTTGTTTAACAAAATAGAATGGTTAACAACATCGAATGCTTTACAAAGGTCTGTGTAAACCACGTCCACTTGCATTCGAGATTCTAAAGCATTCGATACAAATTGAACAAATTCGCAGAGATTTGTGGTAGTCGATTTACGTTGTACAAAACCATGTTGATTAATATTAATTTGACTAGACATATGACTATACAAGTTTTTGGCCAGTACAGATTCAAATGACTTAACAAAGTTACATATTATTGCGATGGGCCTGTAATTTTCGATATTATTTCTTTGTCCAGATTTGAAGACAGGAATCACTTTTGCACTCTTCCAGACGTTGGGAAATGTAGCTTTGCGGATAATCAAATTGTATATAAAGTACAATGGCCCAATAAGACATGTGACACAATCTTTTACAAAAATTTACTTTTAATTTGCTTTTAACTTTTTGATGGCACATAAAATATCACATTTGTTTATCACAAAATTATGAAGAACGGTAGAAATATTACAGTTGCTATCATAGTTAGAGATGTTATCACAGACAGTATCACTAACAAATACAGAACTGAAATATGCTCCAAAGCTATTAACAATTTCCTGAGACGAAGTTACGTCATTACCTTTATAGGCCATAACTCCAGGTACACTTGAGCAGTTCTTTTTTACATTAATATACGTCCATAGATTTTTCGGATTTGTTTTAATTTCGTGTTCAGCCTTAGTGATAAAATTTCTGTAGGTCGTATTAATATCTATTTTAATTTGTTTCCTTAGTGTGTTAACTCGAGCTAAATCTCTTGAGAACTGGAATTTTTTATAACGTTGCCATATTCGATGTTTTAGTTTAATCTGTTCTATTATTTTTGACGAGTACCAAGCTGGATATGATGAAGAAGTTATTGAACACTTCCAGACAGAAGCGTCCAGTAAAATATATAGTTCTCTATAGAAATATTCAACTGCCTCATTAACATCATTTACAGTTAAGAGCAAGGACCAATCCTTTGTAGCTAATTTATTATACAACTCCAGATAATTACCTTTGCGGAAATTATATTTAGTTTTACTTTCCAGACTTCAAAATTTTTCCTCTTTTTCCACTAATGGTAAATTAATATTAATATCTAGCGCCGGATGATGAGCATCTTCAGGAACTAACGCAGTGACAGGTCGAGAGACTGAACAAATTAAATCATTAGAAGTCAGGACCAGATCTAAAATACGGGAATTGAAGTTTAAAATGTAATTACTTTGCCTTAGATCGTTTATGTTTAAAAATTCACTTAATGGAACACAGGAATTTGTTAACTGTCGCAACGAAACATTAGTACCCATCTGTTTGGAATAGTGTGGAATATTGAAGTCACCTAATATAAGACTATATTTGGATAAACAACAACTGGATTCTATATAGTCAAATATTTCATCGTAACATTAAGATGATAACGTCGGTGGAATGTATAGGTTAATTATATTAAATTTGACTGTTTCACTAATTGATATCTGTGTTGCGATCAGATCTACTTCCGAAATTGGAGATGTTAGAGGCAATGTTTTTGATGTAAACGAGGATTTAACAGCTAGCAATACTCCTCTTCCTCTTCCTTTACCATTAGATCTGTATACATTATAATCAGAGTTGAAATATTCCCTACTTAAAACGTCTTGGCTTAACCAGGTTTGCACAAATATTTGTCTACACGGAAAATTTGTAAAATCTATATTTAAAACTACCATTTGTGACAGCATAATAAATGGTAATCTCTGCTCTTTGTTACAATAATAATAATAATAATTTTAATTCTTGTAGCAGAAGACCACGACTAACTAGATCCGCGGGGTTTCTTCGCTCTTGGCATGTCGCCAGTCTGTGATGTCAGAAAGTTCCTAAATTTCGAATAAGCGATTAGCCACGAAAGTTTACCACGTGTCGTGTGGGCTATTTTTAGCCTGGCATATGCGACTTTCAAATCGGACCACATGTATTATTGTGTAATATTTACATTTAACGCCTTTATGATGGTCCAAATGACCTTTGATACCAGTAATGCACTGGATAAGTCCAACCTTGTGTTTTTAACGTTGCAATGTGCAATTTTGATCAAAATAAACGCACAGAGTAATTGTTCCGTTTGTCGTACGTACGTACGTATATGACGGCTCCGTACCCTTTCATACTGCCATCACAAAACCCGTGTACCTAATTCAAACCCGATTACCTCGTTCAAGTCGGAAGTTCGTCTAGGAGTATGCAATTTTTGAAGGTATGACAACTCGTTAATAAACTCACTCCACGGAGAGTAAATGTCTTTAACGCCCGCAACTGTAATATCAATTTTGCTTTTAACATTTCGGCCCCGATCAGACCCTTATGGATCGAATAAGTATTTGTGCAATAGTTGATAAAATATTTCGTGTAGTCACTTTTAGGATCACATATAGTAAACCCAGGGTTTTGTCAATTCGCTATCATCCAATTTTATAAAGCAGTTTTGACTATCATGGGTGGTTAGGAGTGCGACCGGTGTGTTTGATATTGCCTCTATTGCCTTAAGGGCTTTGCTCTGTAAACATGATTTCAAGTAGTGGAATTTATTACACTGGTCTAATTTATCATTATTGTGAATCACTGATATACATTGATTAGAAAACATCAACCACTCTTTATAGGACCCGCAAACGTCGGTAAATTATACACCGGTAGTTTGATAGTCAACTAAATGGGTTTTTACTTGCCCTTCGTTCATTTTGTTGGTTGATAAGATTGCGCAATACCATGACTTGAAATTATCACGTTCTACGGCTTGGGTTTCTGAGTCATCATCAGAATATGCGAGTTCGATTGTTACCTGTGATATGCTTCCGAAATCCTTGTCCGCCTTGTAACAAATCTAATCGAATTACAATTCATTTATATTATGGGTATCCAGCTTAACACCCTTTACGAAACCTCCAATTCTTGTTAATTTACCCTTAATTGCCTAGATGAAGAGGAAGAAGATGAGGAGCAGAATTAATCATAGGAAACAGAAACAATAGAATAACAAGAATTACCAGGAGCCATAATACGAAAGATAACATAAAAGGAGCTCCTGAGAGTGATAAAATAACCCCCAAAATAGTAAATTATATCTGAGATAAAGGAAGATAACAATTAAACAAGTTAATGAATTAAATAATACAAGAAATAAAGATGTCACATGACTGAAAATCAGAGTTAATGTTACCGATATATAAAAAAGGGGTCAAGAGATGTTGCAATAATTTTAGGGGTATCGTTGTAGTAGACATTGAATCTAGGTTTAGAAGGGTAAGAACCACACAAGAGCTAATAAACAAGAAAGAGTTACATGTTTGTTCTATAGACTTGGAAAAATATATACAAAAAACTTTACAAGGAAAAGAAAACAAATAGATAAACGAACAATAAAAAATACAAAAGACATTGTACACAAAGATGGGAGTGAAACAGGGGTGTGTGTTGAGTCCACTTCTATACCCAGTAGTGTTGGTGTTATTAATATTATAACAATGCTTTATTATTCAGAATAGTGCTAAAATTTATTGGTTACATCAGTGCAATAAACAAATGTTTCCCAAAAATTACGCTTTGAAATGCAAAGTTGTTTGGTTTTTAGGGACATTTATATTTTTACTATTGTTTATAATACTGGATATTAAACAATAAGAAAATGTGTCACGTAATGAAAATGTTTAATTTTACTACATTATAAGCGTTATCAATACATTCAAATTTTATAATTTATCTAAGAAATTTGACTCCTGTTTAAATGATTTTAGATCCATTTTATAATTTGAGAAGAGGTCACAGTAACAAGGGCTCGAACGACTCGGATCGCTAAGTACTATAAAAAAATTAATGCAAGGTAAGAAAAATATTAGTGAAAAAAATACTTAAACAATTAAAACAAAATTGCCTTTAGTAAATTCTAAGGAATTATTAGTCAGTATCCAAATAACAGGAAGATAAACTATTTATATCACACACTTCCATTCGTTAAAAAAACGTTATTATAGTTTGTCAGAATGAGTGACATACCTGTAAACAACGAAAATTTACTCACTAATAGAATTGTTGATTTTTTTGCTAAAAGGACAATTCTGGTAACGGGAGGTTCAGGATTTGTAGGGAAAGTACTCATCGAGAAATTATTACGATCTTGTACGAGCCTCGAAAAAATCTACGTGATTATTCGTCCTAGGAAAGGAAAAACTGCCGAGGAACGGTTGCAGACGATTCTTAACGGATCGGTAAGTATGCAGTTTTAGTTTGTTTAATTTTTCAATAATCATCTTTAAGCTCTTTAACTGCGTGAAAGAACGCTTTGGTCCTGATATCGTCAAAAAAGTCCAAGCTGTTCCAGGAGACGTAAGTGCTCCAGATTTGGGACTGTCTTTTGGAAACAGAAGAAAATTAGCTGAAGAGACTGAAATTATTTACCATTCTGCGGCCACTGTCAAGTTTGACGAACCTTTAAAATCTACCGTTTTACTGAAAGTTAGAGGAACGAAGTTGATGTTAGAGTTGGCGAAGGAATGCAAAAAGTTAATGGTAAGCTAACAAATATATTTTCTTTTTGCAAGGTTGGTAGTTACGAAAAATACATTTTTTAAAGGTTTTTTCTTATATATCGACTGTATATTGTCATGAAGATCAGGATATTGTTTTTGAAAAAATATATACACCACCAGCAGACCCCCATCAAATCATTGTTTTATGTGAATGGCTAGACGACGAAAGCTTAAGTTTTCTTACGAAACGGTAAGTAAATCTGAGATTCACGGCAGTAGATAACAGAAATTTGAATGATCTCATCATGAATGAAGAAATTATTTTATAATATTTTTTGTTTTTGAAGTTTACGAGGTCTCAGTGTTAATAATTACACATTTAGTAAAGCACTCGCAGAAACTTTGGTGGCCGAGGAAATGGATAATTTGCCAGTAATTATTCAGAGACCTTCAGCAAGTAACATCTTCAAAAATTTATAAAACTTGTCAAAGTATAGTCTTTGATTTTAGTATTACCCATCTGGAAAGAACCAATTCCTGGCTGGACTGATAATGTTAACGGCCCTGCGGGTGTCTTCATAGGTGCTGCAAAAGGAGTCATCAGAACAATGTACGCACGACCTGATATTTTTATCGATTGTTTACCGGTTGATGTTGTTGCAAATGCCCTAATTGTCTCGACCGCTTTTTACTACATTTACAAGTAAGAAAGTTTAACAGAATTTTCCCCTCATCAATAGTTTACAACTAGAAAGCTGAGAATCTTCAACTTAACAGCGTCTGAAGAAACTGAACGTATGGGAGTTACAACCGAGAAGGTTTTAGAAATGGGTAAAGACATCATTAACAACAAGGTAGCTTTCAACACAGTTCTCTGGTATCCAAATGGATCTTTAAAACAATGTAGAATTCATCACTATTTTGACTTCTTCTTTTTCCAACTTGTTCCGGCGCTACTGGTTGATGCTATTTTGTTCATCATCGGATCAAGACCTTTGTATGTTTGATTATAATAGTGGTAGATTAATAGAAGGATCTTTTAAGTGTTGTGTTTTCAGTTTGTTTAAAATACAGAAAAGAATTTGGAGAGGTTATGAAATCTTGGAATATTATGTAAATCGAAGGTGGTATTTTGATAATCAGCTTTCTAAAACCGCCAGAAATCTTTTAGAGCCGGCTGAAAAGAAAATGTTTAAAGTAGATCCAGAAGGGTTTGATAGTTATGATTATTTTATTCAGTGCACGCTAGCATGTCGGCGTTACATTATGAAAGAACCAGATGAAGACATTCCAGCTGCATTAAGAAGAATGAAAATGTATGTTAACACATTTCAATATTCCTGCTTTACAAATTGTTCTTGTAAAGTAATTTCCATAATTTTTGTATTATTTTTTATCACTTAACGTACAAGTAGAGCAATTTCAATGTCTTTGATTGATTTTTGTACTTTTTCAGGTTACGTTATCTTGATATCCTTTGCAAGACTATATTCATCGTTGGACTATTTTATTATCTGTCTAAATGGGTGTTAGGGTAAAATGTTATGGCACGGACATATGTAGATAGTGATTTCGTATTTAGGCACAATCGCTTTTATTTTGAAGAAAAAAATATTGATTTTACCTATTTTGTTAAGTTAGGGTTCAATAATATTGTAGGCAAATGTAGGAATAGGGGTGTGCTAATTTAACTATAAATAAAGTTTTGGGTGAAATTAAGCAGTTATATTTATTTTCGTTATCCGTTCCTGGAATTTAATAGTAGTTAACTACATAGGAGCGATATCAAGCTTAAAATACTTAAATTAATTCCGAGACAGTCCAGTTTTGGGTTTAGGGCATGACAATGTGTGCATGCAGATATTGAAAAATATTGAAAAATACTGTCTTTATTTCCCAAACGTAAGATAAGGAAGTATTGTAATAGGGTCCATCTGGCGAATAGCTACTTTCGAGTTTTCTCTACGCCGTATCCGTCTACCTGCTGTCTGTCGTTCTTCATTAGACAGAAAATCTCCGGAACTAGTGGACCAATTGTTATCAAATTTTGTATGTATTGCTACGAAAGAAATCCATACGTGGTCCCGGTATGACGCCTCTGGGTTCTAGTATGTACGTCAATGATGACTCATTGCCGGTGACGACGGTCGGAGAAAAGCCTGGAAGCGGAAGTCTACTGCGGAACTTCTAGAAGGGAAACCTGGCTTTAAATAGAGACCACCTTCGGGAACGATTACACAGGCCTGCGATGGTTTTCCCCCAACAAAATCAAGTAGTAATTTCGGTAGGTCTTAGATACTCATGTATAAAAAAAAATTGCAAAAATTTCTATCACGTACAGTTTCTCCAAAAAATGTTTTTTTTCAGTTTTGTTCTTAGTACTATAAAAATTAACTTCTAGATTTTGTGGTAATAATATGTGTTGATATTTCATTTCGTGTTCAGCTTAGTAAGAGTTATTTGTGTCGACTATGCGCTTACTACCCTGAATTTAAACAAAAATTACTAATGTCTTCTCGGAAATGGGTTAATTCTTCAGATAAGTTTGCTGACACCAATGATTTGGATGGAGCCACAAAATCATAGAGACGATTGTTACTTTTGCTGTTCAAATATAAAATGATATAATGCGAAAAATGTAACAGCAATAACATATCCTATCGTGAATACAAGAGAAAACGCTTAAATCAGAGCTTTGAAGAAAGAAAAAAAGAAGCTTCTTGATTTATTTGCTTTTTTAAGTCTTGTTTATAACTAATTTAGTTCATTTAATAAATAAACATTCAATTTTATATTCTTTATATTTTATTTTTTCATAAAAATTGTTTGAAAAACTATGAATATTTAGGCCTACATAAAAATAAATCTCGATGTGCTACAAAAAAACTAGAGTTATATTTTAATTCGGCATACATAAATACCTAAAAAAAAACAATATTATTTAAAAGGGAAATTAAAAGTTATATTTCGCAGGCCTGTGTTATTATTCAGTCGAGTCGAGTCCAACGAGTGTCGAAAAAACCCAGTCAAGTTGTGCCGGAATTATTTTGTACATATTCGCTCTGTAATTGGTCGTGTAAATCCGAGTTACTAAGAAATAAATTGCTGAGTTTAACCCACGCCGATTTTATTCACCGATCAACGTAACACTGGTGTCGAAGTGAGATTTGAGATTAATAACTGGTTTTATGACGACTTCCGGGCAGATTGGACAAGAATTCTGAAGCATTTATGTAGAATGGAGGAAAAGATCATGACTATGTTTGCAAAAATGGACGAGAAACTGGAAGCAAGAAACAAAGAAATGCACGAAAAATGGACACAAGAATGGAAAGAATGGGCGCAAGCATGGAAGAAATGAACCAAAAAATGGATGCAAGAGATAAAAAAATGAGTGCATCAATAAACAGAACAGATGAACGAGAAAATGGACGCAAGAAATAAAGAAATGAACGAAAGAGTGGATGCAAGAATGGAAAAGATGGACGAAAAAATAGATAAGCACGTCAGCCTGACTGAAAAATTCCAAAAGGAAGTGGAAGCAAACAAGAGTCAAATAGAAGAAATTAAAGAGGTAAAAACAAATTTGGAAAATATGGAAAATATTGTCGGACGAAATATGATTAAAAAGTGAGTTAGAAAAATCAGTGGAATGTGTGGAAGAGCGAATGGAGAACAAAATGAAAGATCGAATGAAATTTATAGAAGATAGGATGGAAAGTAAAATGAAGAAATTCGAAAAAATAAATAAAACATCTGGTGCATACAACATGGTGTGGACCCCCAGAACAATTCAACCACCCACCTATGATGGTCAGACGCCTTGGTCATCTTACAAGAAGCAGTTCGAAGCAGTAGCGACGGCGAATCTCTAGGAAGAAGAGTAAAAAGCGACAGCTTTGGTAATAGCTTTGCGAGGCGGAGCGCTGGAGATACTGCAAACTCTATCCAAAAAGATAGAAACAGATACAATGCCCTAACTGCTGCCCTAGAACTTCGATTTGGGGATGAGCATCTGAGAAAAGTTTTTGAGGCCCAACAATTCGGCGAACAATTCTTCAAGAACGTGCCACAAAGTCAGAGTAGCAGAATTAGACACGGAAGGAAACGACAAGTTAGAAAAGCTATTGGAAAAATTCTCACAGCAAATAATAAATGATCCAGCGCCTTCTCAGAAAAACATCTCAAACGCGATTGTCGCGTGCGATCACCAGCTCCAAGGAGAAGCACACAATACAGATCCCTTCAACGAAATGTGCAGGAAACCTAAAACAGAAGCAGAGGTGTAAATTTGCATTGCTGAAGACAAAACATTGGGCCCTCATGGCTAACATTGAAGACGACTTTATTTTGGGAATGGATCTGATTAGCTGCCATGGATTGACGGTCGATCCAATGGAAAAAGTTCTACGCGGAAGTCGCGATGGGTAATCCAGAAAGACCTCGACTGCTGAAGAGAAGTATGGCTTTAAATAGAAGTCGCCTTCGGGAACGATTATTATTCAGTCAGTTCAGTCCACGAGAGTACAGTCAAGTTGTGCCGGATTTATTTTGTACATAATCACTGTGTAATCACAATCAGTCGTGTAAATTTGAGTTATTGAGAAATAAATTGTTGAGTTTAACCCACGCCGATTATAATCACCCGTTCAACGTAACAATACAATGTTATAAAACTGATATAGGATTTGCTTAAAAAAAAATTGAAATGACATGTCTTCAAATTGATGGTGGAAATTACAAATATGATTCGAGGAAAGTGGTCATGTAAATACCTATAAGTATATTAGAAGCTGTGGACACAAACAAAGGAAACAACCAATGAGAAGAAACTTCTGTAGCGACAGTCACAGACATTCATTAAAAAAGGTTGTTTTGCGGCCAAATTCCATCTCTACTATATGTTTCAACAATTCTGAAAGAGTAAGTTAATCATAATTAATAATAATGTGTGTGTGAGCAGAGAAGTGAATACGCTTATTTTTGTTGCCGTTACTTTTATTGCGACACTCGTAATTATTCAAATAACGTTAAATTTGTGTATAATCTGTACAAAATGTCCAACTGTACTTACTGTGAAAAAAAGGGAAGAAACAATGATTGCGTAACATGCGATATATGTCGAAAACTGGTCCACACTGACTGTTCTGGTTTAAGTAGAATGGAAAGTGAGTGCATTCGATCAAATTCGAGAAAAATCCACTACTACTGTGATAAGTGTGACATTGTGGCAACAATTAATAAATTAAAAAGTGAATTGGATGTGGTTAAATCTGAACTGGTGGTAATGAAAAACAACCAAGGAAATGTCGCTCGTTCTGATAATGACAACTTATCCGCTGAAGAACTAATCACAGAGGTCGAGGAAAGAAATCGGAGGGCTTATAATTTAATTCTTTTTAATTTACCAGAATCGAATGAAGAGACTGATGTCAAACGTAATGAGAATGATACATTCCGAGCTGGCCAAACCATATTCTCTGGTGAACATGAAAAAATTAAAATTATGTCGTATTGTCGGTTAGGAAAGTATAACAATGAAAAAATTCGTCCTCTTAGAATATCATTTGAGAATCCTCAGTATGCAACAGAAACATTATAAAAGTATATCCGCAAAGAAAAATTGTATCTCAACAGAGATTTAACTAGATGTCAGCAGAATCAATGTTATATGATAAGGACTGAATTTAAAAATCGCAGAGAACAGGGTGAAGATGATATAATTTTAAAATATTCAAGTGGAATACCAAAGATCCAAAAGGTGGAGAAAAAAAACTCGTAGAAATCCAACAGACTACCAACAACGTCCTACAAAAATCAAATTACAATTTTAACGTTTTTTACCAAAATGTGAGGGGTTTAAATACGAAAGTAAGTGGTTTTTATACTAATATATGTGCATCTGATGACGACATAAACCTGGCTAAATAGCAATGTTCTAAGTTCTGAATTATTTCCAAGCACTTTTAATGTCTTTAGGAATGATAGAAGATGTGGAAGGGGAGGAGGTGTCCTAATCGCTGTAAGTGATAAATACCCGGCTCAAAAATTAGATATAACATCTCCCATACCTCAAATTGAAATAGCTGCTGCCAGAATTTGCATTAAGGCCACTATGATAACTGTTGTAGCCATCTATATTCCGCCCTCAAATTCAATTGGGAATTATGTTCAAATATTTGAAGTTTTAGAGAATAAGATAGATTTTTCGAACCCTGCACTTATTTTGGGGGATCTGAACATCTCAGAGCTCACTGAATGTATGAGTAAAAATAGTATAACACATTTGTTCAATACTTATGCTAATTTTATTTCCTTGAACAACATTACACAGCACAATAAAATTACCAACGTAAACTCCAAGATACTAGATGTGGTATTGTCAGCTGAGCACTTCAGTGTTAATTGTAAATCAAGTCAACTTCCATTAGTACCAGAGGACTTACATCACCCATCGCTAGATGTATCTATATCATACATTTCCTATGAAGTTATCAATTTCCATCAAAGTTCAGATGCAATAAAATTTAATTTTTATAAAGC